AGCAGATTCTTTACCATCTAAGCCACTTGGAAAATAATTATTATGCCCATTTGGCAGATTAGGAAACTGAAGCTGAAAGCCCTTGAGAGCCTTCCCAGAGGCCAAGGAGCTGGGAACTGCTTTGGGCTGGAGGCTGAAGTCTGATGGGCCCATCCCCTCTGCTGTATCAGCAGCCAGAGTAATGAAATGAGACAGAGGCAAGTGCTGGAGGGCTAGGGAGGAAAGGGTGGGCCTCACGCTAAGATGACCCATGCCCCACACCAAAACACAGACGCCTCTAGCCTCCCCAGGGTCTTTTGGCTTGGTTTTTCCTCTCCTGGAAGACACCCAGAGAAAGAGGAACCTGGACAGACTCCTCACCTCCCCCCACGGTGACATCAGCCGAGGGTGCACGGCTGTTGTGATGTTAACCGGGAATGTGGTCTCAGTTCTCTGCTCCTTCTGAGAAAACACATCCAATTGCTTCCTGGCTACCAGCTACTACTGCCTCCTTCCCCGGCTTCCCTCTGAAGTAGGTCAAAACAACCTGTGAGGCCCCTCATTTGCCTTTCATGCCCATGGCTGAGATAATACCAGGATGTTTATTGTTCTAATAGGAGGAAAACAGAAAGAAATGCAGACTGTGTTCTTAACCATATTTGTGATAAAATCTAAGGGCCTTACAATGGCCCACCAGGCCCTCTAGGATCTGGCCCGGTTGCTGCCCTGTTACCTCCCTTTCCTCTCTGCCCTGATCACTAAGCTCTACCAGGGAGTGTGCTTCCTGAACCCTGGGGCCAGGATTCCCACCTGAGGACCTTGGCATTTGCCACCCCCCATCTGCCTCTTTGGGATATTTGCAGGTCATGTTTAGGTAGAACTTAAAAGGCACCTCCTCCAGGAAGCCCTCTCAAACCACCTGGCTAGAGTTGACCATGCCCTCCGGACTTTCTGCCAGTCCCCAGATTAGGGGTTAGGTTTAGGTAGCACAGAGCATGATCTGACACAAGAATGACTTTGCTCACTGACCTGGTTATGGGATCCCAGAGGGGTGGGGTGTAGGAGCCCAAGGTGGGCTCGGCCACCTTCTCCCTAAGGTCCAAGGAGCTTCCCTGGACGCTTTCAGTATGCTCACTTCGACTTCCAGTCAAGGGTGCGTGTTCAGTCGTGTCCGACTCTTTGTGACCCCATGGACTGTAGCCCGACAGGCTCCTCTGTCCATGGGATTCTCCAGGCAAGAATACTGGAGTGGGTTGTCATTTCCTACTCCAGGGGATCTTCCTGACCCAGGGATCAAACCTGCCTCTCTTTCGTCTCCTGCATTGGCAGGTAGGCTCCTTACCACTGAGTCACCTGGGAAGCCCAGTCAAGGGTACTGACACATTATAGCTTTTCTCTCAGGCCCTGACTGTGAATCCCTTCCCCTACTTCTCCTGGCCCCAGCACCTCCTACCTTGCACTTCCCCCACTGCTACATGTTAGAGGACAGGGAGGGTCAAGGAACAGGTGGAGGAGAGAAGGCACCCAAGGAACTTTGGTCAGAGCCACCTCTCATCTCTGCATAGATTTTTATTTAAAATCAGGTCCCAGTGACCACAGACAGAGAGGACATCTAAGACACCTTCTTTAGGCTCTTGTGGCTGGAGCGATGCTCTGGAGATTCAGTCCCTTGTTCTCGCTTAGGGACTGACCCTGGCCTTAGAGATTCTAAGAACCTTACAGTAGCTTGCAACCTATAGGACGGCCTTGGGAAACAACGGATTTTCTTTGATGCAATAGTTTCCGCAATACACATCACTTACTGTCACTCCCTGACTACAACTGTTCAGGAAGAGGGGTGAGCACGTGTAGACCGGCTCCTCAGAGCCTGGGAATTGCAATTCTAGGCATCAGGAGCCTTGTCCATCTGCCCACCTGGACATCAGAATGACCAGAAGTGAAGGCAGGATCCCTCGTCGCTGGGCAGGCAGGGCAGGGAAACGCTCTCTGGCTCTCAGGTGGACCACGTGACAGGCAGCGGCTAGTTCAGTGGCCCGGCTGATTGTGAGATCTGGGTGTGGGCTGGAGTCCTGGAGGTGGGGTGGGCGAGATCGCCTCCCTCCAGTCCCCAAGGCAGACACAGTCAGAGCTGGGCTTCGGGCTGGCTGCCTGTGGTGGAGAGGAGGCCCTAGACTGCCCCTGAGCATGACAAGCTGTGAAATAAAATTCATCTTTTATGGCAAGGCAAGAAATTTAAACGTAAGAATTCTTCTCTGCCATCTGGCTTCCCCTCTCCCCGCACTGCATTGTGTATCTGTATTATGCATCAAATCAGACTTCCATCAGCAGGAACATCAGCTCAACCAGTCACGTACTCATAGCATCAACAAGACAACTCCTTAAAACACAGCATTGCTTCTTGGTCTTATAAGGGGTCACATGACCCACCACAATGGCACTTAGATCTGGATGATGTAAACCGGTCAATAATATGTCATTTAATGTACAGCCCTCTGTCTCAAAAAAACTTGAACTGTGTCTTGACTTCTAATGGGTGGAATAGTCCTCAGAACTTTCTGAGATGCTCTTCCCAGATTATAATCCTAACATTTGGCTCAAATACAGTCTTCCAATTCTTTCTTAGATAGATGAATTTTTTGTTGACACCAGGGAGGCAGACTGACCTTCCTAGCTGACTCTAAGCCCAAGGCTTACATTCACCCCCGGTCCTCTCTGGGTTCCCCAAGCTGGGGCGTTCATGTTGCTACTAAGTGACTCCCTTTCCCAAGCTGGGGTCCTGCTGGGTTCAGCCCAGAGGGAAAAAGGATCGTGGGGAAACCATGCATCCCTCCTACCCAAAGGGAACCTTGGGACCTGAGGGCTTTATTCTGAGTATCCTCAAAGGCTGGGCCTTGGACCGACCAGGGAGGGGGCATTACACAAGGAATGGTCTGCCTCCATCCACAGGGAAAAACCTCCAGCAGTAGGAACGGCTGCCCCAGCAGACAGGAGGCTCCTTGTCCCCAGTGACTGATGGCCTAGGTGTCTGGGGGCAGAGATAAAGGGGGAACCCCTATCCTGACCGGAGAGAGATCGCTCAGACGTACTCAAATCTCAGGGAGAATTTCCTGAGCCTTGCAATTGCTTTCTAAGGGAACTTATGAATTTTTAAAGGATCAAAGTTTTGTGACAGGCCCTCCAGCGAGGGAGCCTGTCATTCCGTGAACCATATGTCAATATCCTCAAGTCATCGCTGCAGAGTCCTTGGGGGTGGGGGGAGGGTGCAGAGCACCCATACTGTCCTTGCAAAGGGCATTTTGGCAGTTGTCCAGCCCATGTAAACATCAGGTTCTGATGTAAACTGTCTCTCCCAGTGTCCAGCGTCTCTCCAACTTTCCCCAAAACATCTGAGTGGTTTCAGAAACTACCCTTGTGATGCCTGACCCAGTCTCAACTTCCTCCAGAGACTGAGTGGGCTGGTGAGTAAACAGCAGCTTTCCCCAGCCTGCCTTCCAGAGGGTAATTCCAACAGCCTTCAGGCTGCCCGGACTGTGCATCCCGGGGCCACGGCAGACTCATCATCTGCCCACACTCCTTTTCCAAGGCTGCTTGTTTGTTGACTTGAGTCTGAGAGCCCCAAGGAGAGCAGGATGCCGCAGCCGCAAGTCAGGGCACTGGATCTTTACTGTGAAACACAAAAATCCTGAAGTCCAGACTGAACCACAAAATGTTCTTTGTTTTCCGGCAGAAAGTCTGGGTGAGAACAGGGAGCTTTTTGACATCCCTATGAGCATGCACACCCAAATCGCCTTTAGGGCTTCCCAGGTGGCTCAGTGGTAAAGAATCCACCTGCTAAGGCAGGAGCTGCAGGAGATGAGGGTTCAATCCCTGGGTGGGGAAGGTCCCCTGGAGGAGGAAATGGCAATCCACTCCAGTAGTCTTGCCTGGAGAATCCCACAGAGAGAGGAGCCTGGGGGGGTCACACCTTGTGGGGTCCATGGGATCGCAAAGACTCGGACATGACTGAGCACATACACCCAGTCTCCATCACGGGCGCTGAGCGGCTGGAGCCCGAGGCTGGGCCTGGGACCATCAGGGTCTGTGTACCTGGCAGCTCTGGAAAGGATATATCTTCGTGACCCAGGACAGAGCACATGGTCCCCACAGAGCAGGCAAGAACCCAGGAAGGGCCCACAGTTCCCCTTCTTCATTTAGCAAGGAGCCCCCTGGGTGAAGCAGAGCAGGGCCCTTCTCCAGGCAGCAGCTGGGTGGGCAGGGCCTCCATCTGGGCCAGGGCACCATGGCTGCTGAGAATCTTCAGGTAGCTGGGTCCTGGATGCTTCTTGCTTCGGGGACAGTGACATGCCCTGGGCCCTGGGCCCACTGTGGAACAGGCTGCAGAACTCTGACAGACTGGCAAGACTAGGAGGGTCCCAGTGGCCCAGGCAGGGCTGGAGGCCAGACTGGGGACTCACGTCTGCACAGGCTGCGGCCAAGATGGGGCAAGCAGACAACACCCCATTACTTGACTTCCCTTCTGATTCAGGAGAAGCAAGTACAGGCATTGGCTCCATGTCCGCAGGGCCACGCACAGTAACTAGGGGTGGCTGGCACAGCAGTGAGGCCTGGAGGGCATCACTCCTGAGGCCAGGGTGATGGAGAAAGTGGGGTCTGGGGAGGGGGGGAGATGTGCCTCGTGGCCTCAGCCTCTGCTTGGTGAGTGTGTTTGACACCCAGGACTCTGGGGCATCTTCTTGGCAGCAGCAGAAGGCACGGGGCCCAGGCCCTCCTGGTCATTCAGATCCAGCCCCTTGGTTGTCTCTGCCGCACAAGCCCGGGCTCCCCAAGGTCTGGGTTGGGAGGCAGCTGGGTGGGGATACAAGTATAGAACAGTGGGACCTCCTGTATAGACAGGCTGGGTCCACCACTGGATGCTGGAACCTCACTTCAGGCCAGACGGGCCTCAGCCACCCGGTGGTGCCACCAGCGCCACCGTGGCCTTCCAGAGGCACCCAGCTGCCCTCTCAGCCCCAGCCCAGCCCTCATTTCTCAGAGACGGTCGTGGGCAAGGGGTCCTCCTTCCCTTCCTCCTCCACCGAGAACATAACATCCCCACAGCTGCCCAGCGGGGGCTCCGTCTCCTGCTCCGGGTAGTGGGAGGCATAGTCCGTCTCCAGCTCCTCCTCCAGCTCGGGCCCGGCTGGCCCCGCTGGGCCTTGGCCCTCAGGCACATCGGCCTTCACGGTCCCCACAATCACGGTGTCGGCTTTCATGATGTAGATGTTCTCTGCAAGGCAAAAGGGTGGGGGAGATGAGGAGACCAGGGCCCCAGCTGTACAGAAGCCAGGAGGCAGAGGAGGGTCCCCATCCTAGCTCTGCCACTCCTGCTGTGTGGCCTCAGGTAGAACGTACAGCCTCTCTGATTCACAATAAACCCCACTGACTTCACAGGTGTCCTGAGGTTCAAAGGAGACAAAACAGCTAGCAGTTGCCTGCTGAGGGGTTAAGGACTGGAGGTGCTCCTGATTTTCTTGACATTTCTGCAGGGATGGGGCAGAAGAGGAGAGGACAGGGTTAGAAGAGAAAGCAAGAAGTGGGGAGAAATCAGGGAACAACGACGTTGATATCAAGAGCACCACTGAACACTGGCAGAGCTTAGCCTTGCTGGATGCCACCTTGGATGTTTTCCACACATTAGCCTCCAAATCTTCGCATCACTTTCACAAGGTAGATGGCCTATGATTATACGATCCCCATTTACAGATGGAGCTCAGGGATGTTAAATGACCTGTCCAAGGTCACCAGGTAGTCAGTAGAAATCCCCAAAGAAACTCCACCCTGCCCAGCTTCCCTTTCAGCACCTATTCACGTGCCTAAAGCAGAATCTGGGGATTGCGGGGGCGGGAGGAGGGGAAGGGGGCCGCGGCAACATGTCTCGGTTTTCCTGAGATGCAGTTTTCAAAGTTCTGAGTCCCAGGAACTTCTTCAGTCTAGGCAAACCCAGACCACATCCTACAGAAACCTCAACCCTGTTAATAATCGCCAAGAGCCTGAGATCTGGATAGCTTTGCAGGGGCTGGTATATCTTGGTGTTTATTGCTTATTGATGTGTGCCTGCCTAGCAAACAGGAGGGCTGCCTGTGTGAATTGCATGGATGAATAACCAGTCCAGCCTGTTAGCGGTATTACCCACCCCACCACTGACCTTCTTCTTCCAGGGCTTTGGAGTCTCAGGGGAGCTAAGTAAGCTGCCAAAGAAACAGGGAAGTAGGGAGCCTGGCTTTCACCCAGATCAGCTAACTGCAAACTCCAGCAGCCCAGCTTCTGATAGCCTTGAGCTCGGGGCAGGGTGCCAGCTCCCAGCCCCTCAGCCCTAGAACTCTCTCTGGAGTCTGAATGCGGAAGCTATCAAGAGGGAACTTGAGAGCTAGGGTGGGGTGCAGGATGCCTGGGGCTCAGGATGCCTGCCTCGCTGGGGAACCCAGTTACACCCTTCTGATTCAGGAACCCCCACAAAGATTCTTGGGGCCCCTGTACCCTCAAGCCCATTGCATAATCCAGTTTTTCTGTTTTGGATACCTCTCGGAGAGAGAGAAGTTTACAAGAATGAAACAAGCTGTAGGCTGGGAGCACCCTACCCCCCAAAGGAGAGAGCATGGCCTCAAGTCACACACCCTCCACTAAAGCCTGCAGAACCTGACCAGAAGGGCTAGCAAATTTAGAAGCCAGTGATGGTGAGGTGAGGGAAAACACAGAAGAAACCAGGAGGGCCAGAGATGAAAGAGACAGACAGACACAGAGGAAGGAGGGGTGTGAATGAAGCGGGGTGTGTTTGTCCAGGTAGAAGCAGCCGAAGCTGGGGGGCCAGGCTGTCACCCCCTCACATTCCTCGGGTCCTGATTCCTTGGGCTCTGTCCACCACCACAGGGCTGTCTGCTCCCCAGCTGGGAGGGAGAGGGTCTTCCAGAAGCTTTTTGGATTTCCTGCCCCATTCAGGGCTCCAGCATCCAAGGAAGTCGTCTTGGTTGGGGGCAGAGGGGTGATGGTGAAGGTGAAGGGACAGGGTTCCCTGTGCCTGGTGCCCAGGGGTAGAGGGGTAACCAGAGTGTGGTCCCCTTGGGAACTGGACCAGGGGGTATTCCTCTAGGGAGATGTCAAAAGAACAGAGGGCTCACCATCTCCTGAATATTCCAGGAAGACCTCCTCCAAGCTTACAGACCAGGCTTATAGGCCAGGCTGCCCATGCCCCAGCCCTGCTGGGAGCCTGGTGCCTCCTTCTACCCACCCCTGCCACACACTCCCAGAGCCCTGTGGTTCCAGGCACTGGGCTCAGCAAGGGCTCAAACATTCAACCTAGGACTTCTTAGGAAATTTGCAAGAGGATGTCTTCAGCAGTATTTCCCAAAATACATCCTTTTCCAATAAAACTTGCTGAAAGCTGCAATTCCAAAAGTTTCAATTTGGCGCTAACGGTTCCGCCCTAAAGAGTTCCATCCACCAACCCCTGCTACAGAATTGTGTAGGACAATCGCAAATGCCTCTTCGGGATGATCTCAGTGATGGTTAACCCTCCAGAGAAGACAGAGATGGATCCCATTAAGACCTTGCCCCTCGGGGAGCTCAAAGCCAGGTGGGGTGGGGAGGAAGCTGCAAACACAGTCACACTGCTGGGAGCTGAGGATACAAGGTGGAGAGGCCTGGGTTCTGGGGGGTACCCAGAGGGTGTCTCCTAGACAGGAGAGTGGAGAGGGCAGGGAAGGCTTCCTGGAGGAGGAGGCAAATATGCAAGGTCCTGGGACATCAGGAATTTATTTAAGGCTTCCCCTGGCAGTCCAGTAATTAAGACTCCTCACTTCCCCTGCAAGGGGCATGGGTTCGATCCTTGGTCAGGGAACTAAGATCCCACAGGTTAAGGGGTGCAGTCAAAAATGAAAAGAATTGACCAGATTCAAGGAGATGGAGTTGACTATTTCAGGTGAGGAAAAGCTCCCACAGAGAAGCTCAGATGTGAGAGAGGGCTCCAAAAATTAGAAAACTGCCACTGAGCAGGAGGAGCAGAACTGCGGGGTTGGGAGGCAGGCGAGCCTGGTGGGGAGGGAAAAAGCAGCCTGGAATTCACACTGCAGGGAGCAGGGACTCCCTGCAGGGCTTCAAGCAGGGGTATAATATGGGCAAGTATCCATTTTGGTAGAAGTGCTCTTGATGTACCAGGGTGAGGGGAGGAGGAGGAAGGAGACTCAGAGTGGAAGGTTCGCCTTGTCTGGAGGGAGGCTGCAGTTCGGGGCACCAGGGGAAATCACTTCTTCGTCCTGAACCGATGTTTCTCCAATTGTAAAACGGAGGGACTGACTCGATCCTCAGGAGAGGTGCCCAAATGTGAACACATCAGCCAAGTGGCAGCTGTTGGCTGACCTCTCTCCTGACATCTCCCTCCACCCGTCTTAGGGGCCCTGTGTTGGGGGCTGATGGTGTTTACTGCCCCTCTAATAAGAGCAGGCAACAGGCAGAGGGAGCCCCGCACCCACTAGGACAACTTTGCAAACATCATTTCATAAATTCTCACAATGACCCTCGGAAGTCAGAACTATTGACTACACTTGGTTTGGTGGTGGTGGTTTAGTCGCTAAGTCATGTCTGAATCTTGCAACCCCATGGGCTGTAGCCTGCCAGGCTCCTCTAGTTTACGAAAATTTAAATTGGGATGAAGAGGCGGAGCAAGCTGCAGATACCCCTGAGAATGGCTTAACTCCTTCATGAAAAGCATCTCCTAATTATAAAAGCCGGTGGGGGAGCCCCTGCCTCTTCCTTGCTGAGCTTTTCATCCCCAGGGTCTCTGGTCCCTTGTTAGGGGCTCAGGGTCCATCTTCCGCTGTCCCCTGAGCACTCCAGGGCCCCCCAAACAGGCCGACTCACCAATCCTGTTGTTGGTATGCTCCATGGTCCCTCGGGGTTCAGGTAGGTCTGTGGGGGATGGGGGGTTGCTGACTGGGCTGGCCTCCAGCAGCCGCAGGCTCTCCAGGCAGGTCTCCACAGCTGGGCGGCTCAGTAAGCCCTGCTCCTCATTGCCTGGGTCTGCCACTGATATGCTCTTGGTCAGCTGCGGTGGGCAGAGGAAATGGTGCTGAGGCAGGATACCCCAACCTCCCCCAGGCTCTGCACTGGGGAACCCCTATTTCTTCATCTCCATAGACCCCAGTGAGTCTCCCTCTCTGCTTTAAAGCCACCATGTGCTACCCTGGGCTTCTCAGCATGGATGACCTGATGTTCCTGCACATGGGACCCTGTGAAGGCGCGTCGTTTTTAACTGGCACTAAATAAAGATAGTGGAGCATCGCATACAATGCTTACCATGTATGTGGCCCTGTACACGTGCTAATCCTTAACAACCACTCTGCATGAGTGCATGCTAAGTCACTTCAGTCGTGTCTGACTCTGTGACCCTAAGGACTGTAGCCCACCAGGCTCTTCTATCCATAGGATTCTCCAGGCAAGAATACTGGAATGAGTTGCCAAGCCCTCCTCCAGGGGATCTTCCTGACCTAGGGATGGAACCTGAGCCTCTTATGTCTCCTGCATTGACAGGTGGGTTCTTTACCACTAGCACCCCCTGGGAAGCCCAACTAGTCTACAAGGTGGTTAATATCTCCCCATTTTACAGATCAAGAAACTGAGGCACAGAAGAGTCAAGTAACTTGCTCAGGGTTAGTTAGTAACTGTCTGGCCAATACTGGAACCCCAGTGTCTCCCTTTGGAATCCATACATGTTTGCTCAGTCTACAAGTGTCAGCTCCAGGCCCACCCCAACTCCCCTGCTCCTGGGACAGCAGTCTTTTATGATCACACTAATGTACTAAAAACAGATATGTTTCAGGAAAATGTTGGTTTCGGTTTTGACTGTTCCGTAAGTGCCAAGAAGAAGTGGTCTCATGAAATGTTCTGACATAAATACCATTTACCTTCTGGCTTCGAAAGGGAATGAGTTTGAATAATTCCAAAAATATAGTTACATAATCCTTCATATTCTTTTAAAATAATTTGAAGTCTAAAAATGGTAGTCTTAAAGAAGTTATTATTTACGCACTGGACCATGTGGCCAAAATATATTTGATTATCTTTGCTGTTGTTGTTGTTCAGTCGCTCAGTTTTATACGACTCTTTGCGACCCCATGGACTGCCTCACGCCAGGCTTCCCTGTCATTCAGCACCTCCTGGAGCTTGCTCAAACCCATGTCCATTGAGTCGGTGATGTCATCTAACCATCTCACCCTCTGCTGTCCCCTTCTCCTCCTGCCTTCAATCTTTCCCAGCATCAGGATCTTTTCTAATGAATTGGCTCTTCGCATCAAGTGGCCAAAGTATTGGCGATTCAGCATCAGTACTTCCAATGAATATTCAAGATTGATTTTCTTTAGGATGGACAGGTTTGATCTCCTTGCAGTCCAAGGGACTCTCAAGAGTCTTCTCCAACACCACAGCTCAAAAGCATCAATTCTTTGGCGATTAGCCTTCTTTACGGTCCAACTCTCCCATTCATACAAGACTCCTGGAAAAACCATAGCTTTGAATAGAGGGACCTTTGCCGGCAAAGTAATGTCTCTGCTTTTTAATATGCTATCTAGGTTTGTCATAGCCTTTCTTCCAAGAAGCAAGTATCTCTTAATTTCATGGCTGCAGTCACCATCTACAGTGATTCTGGAGCCTAAGAAAATAAAGTCTGTCACTGTTTCCATTGTTTCCCCATCTATTTTCCATGAAGTGATGGGACCGGATGCCATGATCTTAGTTTTTTGAATGTTGAGTTTTAAGCCAGCTTTTTCACTCTCCTCTTTCATCTTCATCAAGAGGCTCTTCAGTTCCTCTTCACTTTCTGTCATAAGGGTGGTGTCATCTGCATATCTGAGGTTATTGATATTTCTCCCGGGAATCTTGATTCCTGCTTGTGCTTCATCCAGCCCAGCATTCCACATGATGTACTCTGCACATTAAGTTAAATAAGCAGGGTGACAATAAACAGCCTTGATGTACTCCTTTCCCAATTTGGAACCAGTCCGTTGTTCCATGTTCAGTTCTAACCATTGCTTCCTGACCTGTGTAAGGTTTCTCAAGAGACAAGTAAGGTGGTCTGGTATTCCCATCTTTAAGAATTTTCCAGTTTGTTGTGATCCTCATGGTCAAAGGCTTTGACATAGTCAATAAAGCAGAAGTAGATGGTTTTCGGGAATTCTCTTGGTTTTTCTACACTTGATCTTAGCCAAAAGGCCAAGAAGCAATTCTTGGTTTTTCTATGATCCAACAGATGTTGGCGATTTGATCTCTGGTTTCTCTGCCTTTTTTATTTTTATTTTTTTCTCTGCCTTTTTTAAATCCAGCTTGAACATCTGGAAGTTCTTGGTTCATGTACTGTTGAAATCTAGCTTGGAGAATTTTGAGCATTACTTTGTTACCATGTGAGATGAGTGCAATTGTGTGGTAGTTCGAACATTCTTTGGCATTGCCTTCCTTTGGGATTGGAATGAAAACTGACCTTTTCCAATCCTGTGGCCACTGCTGAGTTTTCCAAACTTGCTGGCGTATTGAGTGCAGCACTTTCACAGCATCAACTTTTAGGATTTAAAATAGCTCAACTGGAATCCCATCATCTCCACTAGCTTTGTTCGTATCTTACAAATCATTAAATACCTTTTTCATGAAACTTCTTGATATCGTAACAGCAACTCATTTGATCCAAGCATGTTTGAAAGTGATCTCCCATGATTTGAAATTGAACCTATAGTGTGGTTCCATCTGTTATGTTTAAAAATAGACAATGGAGGCTTCCCTGGTGACTCTGTGGTAAAGAATCAGCCTGCCAATGCCGGGGACACAGGTTCAGTCCCTGGTCCGGGAAGATTCCACATGCCACAGAGCAACTAAGTCCAGGCACCACAACTACTTAAGCCTGTGCGCTCTAGAGCCCGTGCTCTGAAACAAGAGAAGCCACTGCAATGAGAAGCCGACGCACCACAACTAGAGATTAGCCCTTGCTCACTGCAACTAGAAAAAGCCCATACGTAGCAACAAAGACCCAGTGCAGCCAAATAAATAAATAAAACTTTAAAAATACTATTTTAAAAAAAGAAAGGAATAGAAGAACTGGTAAGTGAGGGGAAAGTGGGCAAACCATACATACCTGAGACCTGGTCATATGGTATGTTTCATCCTGTCCTCTCTCAGCTGTGGAAAGCAGTGCCGCTCCTCTCCCCAAGCCCCTACATTGGTCCCTGCGCTGCCCCTGAGAGGCCAGCACAGAGCAGGGCCCCAAGCGAAGCCTAGCAAGGACCTGGTGTACACGCCCCATGCAGGATGGCTGCAGGATCGGCGGTAGCATGTGCAAAGCCCCGGCCCAGAGCCTTGCACAGCGAGCGCGTCATAAAAGGCGGATGAAGATGGCCTTGCTAGGAGTCAGCTCAGGGAAACAGCTCAGAGCACCTGCTTTGGAGTCACACATACCAGCCCTCAAATCCCAGCTGATCTATTTTCCAACTGTGAAATCACCTTTCCTGTCTGGGCCTCTGTTTCCTCTCGGACAACAGTACCAACCTCAGTGTGTTGCCAGGACAAACCGGAACAACTTGGAGAAACACAAAGCCAGATGCCTAGCTCACGGTAAGTGCTCCATGCACACACATGTGCTCAGTCACGTCTGACTTTTTACGACCCCATGAAGTGTAGCCTGCCAGGCTCCTCTGTCCATGGGATTCTCCAGGCATGAGTACTAGAGTAGGTTGCCATTTCCTCCTCCAGGGGATCTTCCCAACCCAGGGATCAAACCTCCATCTCTTGCATTGCAGGTGGATTCTTTACCACTCCACCACCTGGGAAGTGCTCCATACATGCTAGCTAAAGTTTCAAAAGTTTGTGCTACTGACTTGACCATCCCAGCTTTGAGGATGAGACTCACAGAAGGGAAAATAAGCCCAGCCTTCCCTCAGACCACACCTGGCACCCGAATGGTCAAAACCAGACCTGCCGTCTGGCAGGCCCTTCTGGAAGTCCCCAGCAGGATGAGCCAGGAACCGAGGCTGCCGTGGGGGTGGGGTTGCTCATCCCCCGCCAGGGCCTGGCTGAGGCTCCACCGTGTTCAGAGCTCCCTGCATGGGGCAGACCCAGCCTGAACTTGCAGGGGAACCTGCACCTGGGCCGTGGGAGGGAAAGGACCCACCCAGTCACTGTCAGAACCAGCAGCTCTGATGGAGGAGGAGTCATATATAGGGGCACAAAGCTGGGGTGGGGGCAAGGGAAAGGCTACTTACTATCGGGTTCCTCCCCGGCTTGGAATCTGCAAGGAGAAAAAGAGCAGTCACTTCACCAAGGGGCATCTGGCAGCTGCCTGGCCCTGCCCCACCCCACTGCGGGCAAGTGCCCCCTCCACTGCCCCCAGGGTGGAAGCTGGTCCTTCCTCAGACCTCACTCTGGAGAACAGTGGACGGGTTTCAGGCCCGGGGCACAGGGCCTCACTTCCCGGACAGCCAGAGAACAGGGCAGTCATCTCTCTCCCAGCCACCAAGCCCCTCAGCACTCCAGACCCCATCCACCCACTCCCACACATGCGTAAGAGTGGTTCAGGACCAGCGCGCACCCCAGCTGAAGCCGAAGAGGCTCTGGCAGGGTCAGAAGCTGGTCTGTGGCTGCTGCCACCAGGGGCAGAAGCCAGAGCCCCCCAGAGCAACATGTGAAACTCAACCCACACAGGAGGATCTCATGGTGATAGAGAGAGGGTGGTGGGTCCTGAGGATCCTTTCTGAGCCCCTGTGTCAGACAAGCCTAAAGCCAGATGGCCACAGAGCCCTTTAGGCTCTGGCCAGCGCGAATTCGGCCTTCTATCACATGTGCCCGAAAGAGCCCACGTGACCAGTCTCACCGGTCATCACACTTCCGATAGTGTGAGCTTGGGACATGCCTGGTGGGCTTGGGCCACAGTGATCCTCAGGGCACAACCTTCAACTTCTCACCCTAAACCCCCCCTCCTCTCCAACTTCTCTCGAATTAAACAGGGCATCAGGTCAAGGCCAAGTATATGTTGACCTTTAACCACAACCAGATGGCCAACTGGAAAAGCTAGAGGTGGTACCCGGAGACATGTTTACACCAGGGTGAGTCAGCTCCCAGGCGCTGAATGCTCTGGGAGCACACGGCCCCTTACACTCCCAAGGGGACCACCTACAGGGTCTTGACTTTTGTTGCCTTTAGGTGTGGACGCCTGGCCAGAGAGCTCGCATATGAAGAGGCCAGCCAGCTGAGTCACCTCTGGACCTCTGTCTGACCTCAGCTGCTCTGGGGAAGCAGCCTCCTCAAATCCTAGCAGAAATGCACACTGGGGGCCAACCAGCCACAATAAAACAACACAATGAGCAATTTGAACCTGTTGTGTAGACACCAGGTCACTCTGGGGGACAATCTTCCATGTCCATTTTAAATGACCATCCGCAAGTAAAGTGTCTAAAGGGGAAATGGACCAGAATCATGGTCAAGAGAAACATATGTGTAAAATGACACAATGGTTGATTACTGAGTTAACAAACAAATCTGGGAACTGCTGACCCCAGCAGAGCAGTCACCTTAGGAGGCTCGTGACTCTCTCCCACGAGGTGGCCACTGTCCAGTGCGCGAGCCAGCATTTTGAGAAATGTTGTCTGGCCTGAGGCACATTCTTTTAAATAAAGTCAGAGAAGCCAAATTTTTATCCTTTGAGAGTGATTTTTGAGTTCTGCAAACAGCTAACTGTCATTTGGCAGCCAGTCATTGAGGGGAGAAAGTATGTGACAAAGTAACAAGACAGAATAAACAAAAATGATAAAACGCAGTCCTGGAGAGGATGTGGGTAAACAGGAACACAGCTGCTCATGCCCTGTTAACTGCTTCCCTCTTTCTCAAGAACCATGCGGCAGTGAAAACTTCACACACTTTGACTTAGTAATCCCTCTTCGGGGACACACCCTCAGGAAATAACTGGAAGGAAAGTAACCAGGCTGTGCATAGCAGTGGAGCCTACAATACGCAAAAAACTGAAAACGAGCCAGATGCCGAACAAGGAAGCAGCTTAGTAGTCCTGCATCGGAGGCCTGCCTAGCCGTGCAACCCCAGCACCATCCTTCACCTCTCCCAGTCTTAGTTCTCTCGTTTGGAAAAGGGGCAAGATCATGCCCCTTCGGTGGGTTTTTATGAAGATTAAATGAGATCTCAGAAGAGAAGGTGCTCAGGAATCAATAATGTTGAGAGCATATTCTCTCTCTCTCATTTTTTTTTTGAGCTTCTGTGGGCTTTATTGGGATAAGTTAACAAAACTCAAGATTTCATCAGCCATCATTTCTTAATTTATAAACTCAGCAGAGACTCTGGTCCATATATGAAAATGTGAAAATATTAGTCACTCAGTCATGTCCATCTCTTTGTGACCACATGGACTATACAGCCCAGTCCACCAGACTCCTCTGTCCATGGAATTCTGTAGGCAACAGCACTGGAGGGGGTGGACATTCCCTTCTCCAGGGGATCTTCCCGACCCAGGGATGGAACCCAGGTCTCCCGCATTGCAGGTGGGTTCTTTACCATCTTAGCCCTCAGGGAAGCCCCCTGGTCCACATATGTGTACATACAAAACATAACACATTTCAACATAAACAGAGTCCCACTGGGACATTTTGCCAGTTAACAGAAAGCCAATTTTCCCTTTCCCCCAAAGTCTTCAAAATTGAGTCCCCACTGTTTACTTCTGGGTGGAACTAGTCCCTTGTGGCTAGGGACACTGGAGGTCTATCCCGTCTACTAAATAAAAAAATAATTGTTTTCAAGTTTTAATTTGAGAGCACATACTCTTGATAGGTTGTGATGAAAATGACACTGAACTCATATGGTCTTCCTCCTCCAAACCCACGACTCCAATCTAATCAGGACAAAGACCCTAGACTGATTCCTGTAACTTAACTGACCAGCACTCTTCAAAACTGCCAAGGTCATCAAAAGATAGGAACGCCAGAAACTGTCAGAGGCCAGAGGAGCCTAATGCACAAATGTAAAGTGGGATCCTAGGTGGGATCCTGGAGCATTAGAAGCATGTTAGGCAAAGCTAAGTAGATCTGAACAGAGTGTGGGCTTCAGATAATAGTAGTGTACCAGTATTGCTTTTATTGTGACAAATGTACTGCAGTAGAATAAGATGTTTATAATAGAGGAAATTGGGTGTGGGCTATATTTCCACTAACTTCTCAAATTTTCTGTAAGTCTAAAACTTTTCTTTAAAATGAAGTCTGTTTAGACTTTTTAAATTAAAACATTTAAAAGAGAAGGAAAAAAAACAAAAAGGAAGGTGGCTAGAATGCTCCCTAGCACCTAGGGGGCCCTAGGATACTCCCGTGGCTTGACAGTCCATCACACCAAAAAGAAAGCCAGCTTTCAATACTGTCTCTCAGAAACCAGCATAAAATAATGTCAAGGTGAAAAGGCAGAATCCAGATGGTATCAACCTCTGCCTACAGCCGTGTTACAACCTGCCTATGTTCTTTAAAAGACCCAGAATGAACAGTGCCAACTGTAGAGGTCAGATTTTGTAAGTGCTTTTTCCCTCAAAAATTTTGCTTCAGTTCCCTGTCTTCATTCATTGGTAACCTTGCTTTTTTGGAATCATCGCAATCTTCTCACAAATGTGTCCAGCGTCCCAGGACACAAATCCAGTGACAAACTGGGCATCGGCAGCCCCCTCCGTCCCCAAAGAGAAGTGCTTGGTTTCCCAGAGCTGATTTGAGGGCTGCTCAACCCAAGCTCGTGGGTTCTGACACCCAAGTTATCCATCCTTTCCATCCCTGTTGCTCTCTGCTGTCAGTTCCATCCCCTCTCTGGCCTGGGGTTCTGGCTGCTGTGGGAAGTGGAACAGACCCAAGGAAGCAGTTTGGCAACAGGCAGCCTTAGATTCCAATCCAGGAAGGGGCAGGGAATTATTACAAGCTAAACTGGGAACATGGTAATGGAGTGCTCCAGGGAACCCCCTGGCGGTCCAGCGGTTGGGACTCAACACTCTGACTGCCAAGGGCTGGGGTTTGATCCTTGGTCAGAGAACTAAGATCCCACAAACTGCATGGCCCAGCCAAAAAAAAGGAAAAAAAAAATTCCTTCAATTAAAAAAAAAAAAAAGATTTAAAAAAGAGATGAGCTCCAAACACAGAAAGATAGAACCAAAAGGACACAGGAGCCAGCTTGAAGGGGCCCTCACTGGCATCATCTGGGACAATTTGAACACCAAATTAAGCAACAACAACGGTAGAGTAAGAAAGGAATCACACATCCAGACAGACAAACATACAGAAACGGAGGAAAGGCTGATGACGCACCAGTTACTCACAGAGCCTCAGAGTACCTCCCCTCACCTTAGCAATGACCACAGAGGAAACAGGACTGCATGCTGGAGAAGGCTGGCAGACACCACGCTAATCCAGGGCTTATGGTGAACATGGGGGGGAAGAGACAAAGGGAAACCTGGCGGGGGGTGGGGATGGGGTGGATACCTCACTCCAGAGTCAGGCAAACCTGGGGTGAGGGGCAGCCACAGATCACTGGTGGAATCTTCCAAAATGGCAAGGTCATGACCGGGAGGGAGAAACTCAGACTAGAGGGGGACACAAGACACAGTGGCCAAATGCAACAGGGGAGGCTGGACTGCATTCAAGGTACTGTTAGCAATGCATGAAGAAACTCGACTGGGGTCTGAGAACTAGTTGGTGGTGATACAGCAAAGCGAATTCTCTGATGTTGATGATTTCACTGCGGTTGTGTGAAATACACACTCAGGTATTCAGGGGTGAAAAAGCATGAAGTCAGTAACTTACTCTCAAAATAATTCAGGAAAAATAGGTTCACCATACTTTTCTGTATGTTTGAAGTTGTTTCAAAACAAACGAAGCAATGTTTCCAACTTAAAACTGCCTGAAGTAACAGATAAAGTAATGATGACAGTGTCTTTCTAAATGAAGGGTTAAAAGACTTTCACCCAGTGTTTTTCAACCAGGAGAGACGTTTCCCCTCCAGGGCACATGTGGCAGTACCTGGAGACATTGCTGGCTGTCACAGATGGGAAGTGCTGCCAGTATCTGGTGGATCTACAGACCAGGACTGCCTGGCATCCTGTAACACACAAGACAATCCCCACAGCAAAGGATCCCGGGCGGGTGTCAACAGTGCCAGGGTATCCTTTATGCAAAAATCTAACCAGCACCACCAACAAAATCCCAGTCGGCCGTACTGCTCATTAACCAAGTGGCCTTAGACAAGCTTCTTCCTCTTCCCGTGCCTCAGCTTTCTCATCTGAGAAATGGGTATAACAGGCCTCTGGGAGGAATAAGATGAGAACACACGTGTACTGATGGAGATACCTGCCCCTGAGGACGCACGCCACCAAGTCAAATCCATTCAGGGGTGGGGGTGAGCATCAAACAGGCACCTGTCCAGATCACTGCTAACCACACCTGGGGCTCCCCGAGCCCTGGAGTTCTGAGACAAGGAGGACTGAGGCCAGATTATTCCCACTCTGCTTGAGCTGGTCAGAAAGCTTGGGAGGGCACTTGCCGGACCCAGCACAGGGCCACCAGGAGGTGCACGGCGGATACACAAAGGGGCGGACAAGTGCACAAGGACTCCTGCACCCCTCCAGCTCCCACTGCATCCACCCTGCTGAGCATACCCACGTCTTGCACCCTGCGTCACCTCCTTCCCTGGGAACCAGACCCCCAAGGACCCACTGGAAGCCAGCGCGCCAGAAATGGCACCAAACAGGGTGGACGCCACTGAGGCCCAGGCTCAGTTCCTGGTAGGTCTGACTTTTTAAGAGAAGGTGCTTTTTGTCTTTTTTCTCTCTCTCTCTCTTTTTTTTTGTATGTGTGCGACAAAACTGCTATCATGGAGGTTTGAAGAAAAAAATAAACTGACAGCAATGGAAACTCGAATACTAGAAAAATGTCAAGAAAGCAAACGCGGGTTTCAATGAGACATTGAGCCTGACAGCTCATGGAAAAAGGCTTGAAACTGTCAAAACACAAAAACCCCCCTTGCGAAGAGAACACAGGCACCTGCTTGTGAAACTCATCAAACCCAAAACACGCCTCACGCACTGGGTTCGGGGGCCTAAGTCAGAAGCCAGGCCAGGGCAAAGCTTTCTGTGGGGCCTGAGGACGTGGGGGGTGAGGAGGTCTGCGTTGACCGCTGGGTGTCAGGCTGGGCACTGAGTGGTGGACAACCCACGGCGGGGGGGGTGGGGGGGGTGGGGAGGAAGAGGGTAAAGGACTGAGACCTCTGCCAGTGAGACCTGCCGTCTCCAGGACCAGTTCCTGAGTCTGGCGATGGCAACCACAGATAGTGTGGCCCTGGGTCTCGTCTTCATTATGAAATGAAGAGCATCACCCATTTCCCATGGGGCTTCTGGGTCTGTGAGACCCTCATAGGACCCTGCCTTGAAACCAGAAAGGAAGCTCAAACCATTTGTGTTTGCTCCTTCCCCTGTGGTCAGGGCCCATACACAGTAGGTGCTCAATCAATGCTTGTGGCATGTTGAGGAGGACCTTGTACTACCTTGAAAGATGTCGCCCAGGGGAGAGGAGATACTTGGCACAAGATGTCTGGGGTCCCCCCTCCCGCCCCCTGCCAGGTGAGAGCTGAGTCTGCTGCCTGGATGGGTGGGGCATGGAAGGCTGCCTGGAAGAGGTGGTCTGGAGGCTGGCCAGGGATCAGAGCGAAGAGTTCAGATCAACTGAGAATTCAGGAAGGCCTGGATTCCTGGCGAGAAAAAAGGCCCTAGACACAGGGGAGCTGTCAGCAAACAGCAGCCACTATCTGCGAATGCTGACTGCATGCAGACACTGCACACAGCACTTAACAGGCCCCATCACAATAGACCCACACATCCACTCTCTGAATTAGACCCCACTTCCCAGGTAGCGCTAGTGCTAAAGAACCCACCTGCCAATGCAGGAGACATAAGAGACATGGGTTTGATCCCTGGTTCAGGAAGATCTCCTGGAGGGAGGTTATGGCAACCCATTCCAGCATTCTTTCCTGGAGAATCCCATGGACAGAGGAGCCTGGCAGTCCATAGGATCACAAAGAGTCGGACACAACTGAGTGACTTGTACAGATGAGGAAACTGAGACACAGAGGAATTAAGTAATTCACCCAAAGTCATGTAGCTCATAGTGCAGAATCAGGACTCTAGCCCTGTTAGCCTGCTCCCCCCACCCCAACCCCTACACCCTGGGCACCAGCAGGAGGGAAGGGGAGGGGGAAATGACAAGGAGACTGGGAAGGAGGGACAGAGAGAAGAGAAGAAGGGAAGGCCTCTCCTGAGGGCACAGCCAAGAAGAGAATGAAGGACAAGCTGAATTTTTGAAACTTCGTGCCCAGACCGCATCTGACGCTGAAGGGAACATGTCACATAATTTCCACCCACATCATATTCCCATCACATATGAGGTTGCACAGAAAGGAGGAGCAGCTTGTGGGAACCCCCCCACACAGAGGGAGCCCCAAGGGAGTTCTGGCCCACCGTGCAGAGATGCAGTGTAGCCGCGCGCAGCCCTTTTGGACCCCGGGACACTCACCCACAGGCTCCAGCGTGGGCCGGAAGGTCTGGACTGGGTAGCACAGATGCAGCTCTGAAATAACAGCAGGAGGAGGACTGGGGTGTCAGCCTCAGAGAGTCTCAGCGGGCAGGATGGGAAAAGCACCCAGGCCAGGCTAGCACAGGGCACCCTGCCCTCCCATGGCCCCAGGATACATGCACTTACTCTGTCCAATCCACTTCCTGCAGGCCCTCCGGTGGCACAGGACGAAGGAGCTGAAGCTGACGACCACCACCAGTATCAGAATCACCCAGAAGAGCACAGGTCCTGGAACACAGAGGTGCCCTGCATCCTCACCCTGACATCCTGGTAGGCAGCCAGGGGCCCTACGGCAACCATACAGGACGGCCCTCACTCCAGACTGCTTCCTACTTCTGGACACAGACTCCACTGTTGCTGACAAGACCGGCTCTTTTCCCAAGCCAGAACAGAAACCCAGGTCTTATCTATAGCTATCTGGTCCAGCCCTCACCCGCCTGTCCTTCCTCATCTGGCTCTGGGAAGCCCATGGGGGAGCTAAAGAGTTGAAGGATACACAAACCGTTTCTAGAGGGGGAGAAACGGAGAGGTCAAGGAGGCAGAATGAAGAGGGAATTGAGGTCCAACAGAATGACATCAGGGGACTGGGGAGGAGAGCATGTGTGATGCCCAGTCCCAGGCGCCTGGCAGGCAGAACAACCAAGAGGGTGAAGTTAGGAGTCTGGCACAACTCCCGGCCCACCCTCTAGACTGGAAGTTCCACGAGGGCAGGCACAGCATCTACTCTGCACATAAGCACGCTCAGCAAGTGCTCCTTGAATGAGGAGTCAACAGCCCTATGCCATGGGCACCATGACCATCCCCATTTTACAATGGAGGGAAACTGATGTTTGCAAAGATTAACAGCCCCAAAGTCACCCAGAGGGTAGGAATCATAGCTCAGGCCAGGCCAGCGCGACTCCAGAGCCCACGCTATTAACCACTATCTGGATATATTTCATTATCTCTTAGTACTTAACTTGCCTCTTTTTTTTTTTTTAGCCCCTTTGTCACTTATGAAAATCAACATATAGTTATTATTTTTTAAAATCCATGTTTAGGTGCTAAAAAAGTAGCACGCCCCCAATAGCTTCCCTGGTGGCTCAGTGATAAAGAATCCACCTGCCAATGCAGGAGACGCTGATTCCATCCCTGGGTCGGGGAAGATCCTCTGGAGAAGGAAATGGCTACCCACTCCAGGATTCTTGCCTGCTAAGAATGACTTAGTGAACGAACAATAGCAACATGTACCAGATAAGTGCTTCTCAGACATTCCTGTGCCTATGAATCTCCTGGGGACCATGTTAAAATGCAGAGTCTGATTCAGTAGGCTGGGAGAGGCTGGTAATTTGCTTTTCTAAGTTGCTAAACTGCCAAATCCAAGGCCTCGCAGAGGGCCGCTGGCTGAGAACTACCGTCGCCTAGTGTCCAACACTAGAACTGCAAGTCCTTAAAATCGCATTCCGGGAGCCGATAACGCCCCTGTAATACCATTCTCTGCTTACTACCCTTTGCGGTATACGCTGTTAAAACGTCAGAAGGTGAGAAAGCTGAAGCTCAAAGGAAGTAAGAAACTAGTCAAGATCATGAGGTAGTGGTGGTTTAGTCACTCAGTCCTGTTCGACTCTTGTGACTCCATGGACTGTATGTAGCCCGCCAGGCTCTTCTGTTCATGGAATTTTCCAGGAAAGAATGCTGGAGTGGGTTGTCATTTCCTTTTCCAGGAAATCTTCCTGACCCAAGGATTGAACCCGCATCTCCTGCACTGCAGGCGGATTCTTTACTACTGAGCCACCAGGGAAGCCCAGTCAAGGTCATGAGATAAGTCGCCAAGTATTTTGTGAGTAGCAATTACGGGCTGTGGAGAAGAAGCTGAGAATAAAATCCCTGCTCAGAAGAATCAAGGAATAATCTCTAGCAAGTGACAGAGCCACACAGCTCCAGATCAAGAAGCCAAAGACCTGGGGTCAACTTTGTTCCCAGGACTTCCCAACCCCCACTCTTTCCCCCCACCAAGTGATGCTGTTGCACAGTGAGAAGCCTCCCTCCTGTGGTCCCCAGGGAGGAAGGCCCTGCTTCGTGGGGGTGATCATTACCTGAAACCAGAGCCGGCTTTCCTGTGGAGGAGAAGGAGATGGGAGCACTGGTTGAGATTGGGATGTCCTCCCAGGCGTGGGTGACACCCCCTCCATGCTCCTTACCAGTCAGGGAGTCGGCCAGGGAGACCAAGGAGGGGGTGGGGCTGCAGAGAGAGAGGCCAGAGGTAAGACGGACGATTGAGATGGAAACAGAGATCTGAGACCCCAGCTCCTCTGCCAACAGTCTCTGCCAGGTACTTTGAGGGCAGAGCCTGGGTTTCTAGGCCTTCTGGCCTTCCATGGTGCCAGCACAGACATAGACTCACATTCTCCAAAATGACCTGCAGGCTTGGCCTAGAGATCCAGCACAAGCCCCATTGCCACCCCTAGCCAGCTTTGCCCCGCCCCCCACCAGGCAGGGCCGGTGGAGAGTGGGGGCCAAGGAGTCACCTGGCAGGTGCCCCACGGTCCTCCAGGCTGGTGCTGCAGTCAGGAGGGCTCCCTGGTGGAGGTGGCTCAGCCTGGGAGGTAGTGCCTGTCTCAGCCATACCTGCAGGGAGTGGGTTAGAAACAATGGCAAGGATGGTTACCAAAGGGAAAAGCAGGGAGGAAGGGATAAACTGGGAAATGGGATTAACAGATATACACACTATTAAATATAAAAGAGATAAATAACAGGGACCTACTGTATAGCAAGGAGCAGTATTCAATATCTTATAAATCAACCATACTTCAACTTTTTAAATTAAATTAAAAAAAAAATCAGTGCCAAAGAGCCTCACGCATCAGGACTGGTGACTTCCGGGGAGGCAGCACCGTGGGGCCGGAAGGACACAGCAGCCGGGCAGACCCAAGTCTGTGTCCTGGTTGTCTCCTTGCTTCCTCCCTCTCTCCTCCCTTCCCTCCATGCAGCAACTCTTAACTGAGCACCTACTACATGCTGGGAATTGGGACAGAGCTGTGAGCAAAACAGAAAAGATTTGTACCCCTGGGAGCCAACTGGCTGGTGGGGTTCATAGACTCAGTGTCACACGAAGGCAGGTGGGGTCCCTGTAACAGCAGACTCAATCTCGTCTCACTAGGGAGGCTTCCCTGAGGAGGGAGGTGCTAGGATGTGAGCGGGAACGGGAGTTTCTAAGCAGAGGAAACAAAAGGTGGGGAAGCCCCAGAGATGGGAGGGAGGAGATGGGTCACAGCAGCGTTCTTCATAGTCATCAAAGAAGCAGGAATGACCCCAGTGCCCATAAAATGTAGTATCTCTGAGTGCTGGAATACTGTATGGCAATAAAAGAAATGAAATACTAACACAGCTGGGAGCTTCCCTGGTAGCTCAGACGGTAAAGAATCTGCCTGCAATGCAGGAGGCCCAGGTTCCATCTCTGGGGCAGGAAGATCCCCTGGAGAAGAGAATGACTCCCCACTCCAGTATTCTTCCCTAGACAATCCCATGGACAGAGGAGTCTGGCAAGCTACAGTCCATGGGGTGGCAAAGAGTCGGACACCATGCAGTGACTACGCGTATTAATACAGCTACAGCATGGATGAACTGCAGAAGCTCAGTGAAAGAAGCCAGACACAGAAGAATACGTATCATGGAAATATCCCCAAAAAGTTAATCTAGAGTAACAGAAACTAATTTCCAGGCCAGAATACTGGAGTGGGTTGCCATTCCCTTCTACAGGGGATCTTCCTGACCCAGGGGATGGAACCCACATCTCTCAAGCTTCCTGCATTGGCAGGCAGATTTTTTTACCACTAGCACCACCTGGGCAGCCATGAGTATTTGTGTACAAGTCTTTGCAAAAACATAATTTCATTTCACTTGAGTACCTAGGAAGGGGAAGGCGGTGTTACTGTGCTGACAGAATGCCTTTGAGGACCACTTCAAGCACAGTCACTTCTGATCTGACCCAGCCACCCCTTCTCACAGACGGAGAGAACCACAGAGCCAGAGCTCGAACCAGAAATCAGGGCTCCTGAGTTCCAGCCTGGAGCACTTTTCATGGGACCGCACCGCCTCCTACTGGGGACTGAGCATTTTCTTACTAGTTGATGATTAACTGTTTTACTGGAGCAGAAGGAAATGGCCCACATTTGAAGTAGGTCCAGCCCAGCTAACAGCCCTCTCCGCCCCCATGTTCCTGGTGGGGGGAGGGGGGGTGGCCACCCCTTCCCTTAAGTGATACAAAGCCAACGCTCCACCTGCCCATGCTTCTCTTATAAAAAGCTCTCATTATGCCTCTCAGATTTTTCCTGATTTTAACATTTTAAAGAGAAAATAAGGCCAGGATTAATTTTCTCCTTGGATTAATAGGGTCCTGAGGAACCCTCTGCTTTTTGGAGGTCTCCACATAGACAGCAGGAGGTGGCAGGGAGGTTCAAGAGGGAGGGGGCATACCTATATGACCAATTCATGTTGATACATGGCAGAAACTTCCCTGGTAGCTCAGACGGTAAAGCATCCGCCTGCAATGCTGGAGACCCAGGTTCGATCCCTGGGTCAGGAAGATCCACTGGAGAAGGAAATGGCAACCCACTCCAGTATCCTTGCCTGGAAAATCCCGTGGATGGAGGAGCCTGGTGGGCTACAGTCCGTGGGGTTGCAAAGAGTCGGACACGACGGAGTGACTCTCACACACACACACACACACACACACACACACACATGGCAGAAACCAACACAATATTGTAGAGTGATTAAAAATCAGCAAATGAGGACTTCCCTAGTAGCTCAGTGGTAAAGAATCTGCCTGCCAATGCGGAGACACGGGTTGGATCCCTGATCCAGAGGATCCCACATGCCGTGAAGCAAATAAGCCCAAGCACCGTAACTATTGAACCTGTGCTCTACGACCCGCGAGTCACAGCTACTGAAGCCCACGCGCCCTAGAGCCGGTGCTCGGCAACAAGGGAAGCCGCTGCAGTAAGCCCACACACCACAACCAGAGAAAAGGCCCTTGCAGCAACAAAGACCCAGCACAGCCAAAAATAAACAGAACTATTTCTTTTTAAATAAAAAGCAAATTAAAAACACTAAAAAAAAAAAAAAGATGCTATGTCTTTCCATGTGGTCACTATTCAGACTATTACCTGAATTATTTGAAGCCTAGAGACCTTGGGCTATGAGGAAAATAATGCAATTGTTATGATAATTTTGACTTGTATTTGAGACGTCCTGGGGATTCAGTGAGAGTTGACTTGGAAAGGACTGGGGGAGCTCTTTTGCTCAGGAACACTAACTGTAGCTACACCCAGGAAACAATGGAAACAGTGACAGACTTTATTTTCTTGGGCTCCAAAATCACTGTAGCTGGTGACTGCAGCCATGAAATTAAAAGACGCTTGCTACTTGGAAGAAAAGTTATGACAAACCTAGACAGCATATTAAAAAGCAGAGACATCACTTTGCCAACAAAGGTCCAACTAGTTAAAGCTATGGTTTCTCCAGTAGTCGTGTATGGATGGGAGAGTTGGATCATAAAGAAGGCTGAGTGCTGAAGAATTGAGGCTTTCGAACTGTAGTGTTGGAGAAGACTCTTGAGAGTCCCTTGAAAGGCAAGGAGATCAAACCAGTTAATCCTAAAGGAAATCAGTCCTGAATATTCACTGGAAGGACTGATGCTGAAGCTGAAGCTCCAATAGTTTGGCCACTTGATGCTAAGAGTTGACTCACTGGAAAAGACTCTGATGCTGGGAAAGATTGAAGGCAGGAGGAGAAGGGAGCGACAGAAGATGAGATGGTTGGATGGCATCACCAACTCAAAAGACATGAGTTTGAGCAAACTCTGGGAGATGGTAATGGAAAGCCTGGTGTGCTGCAGTCCATGGGGTTGTAAAGAGTTGGACACAGCTGAGCGACTGACTGAACAACACCACCACCCATTTAGCAACCTCTGACCTCCCTTCAAGGCAGCCTCCCTTCAAGGCAACCTGTGACAGAATCCAGCAATAGAAATGCTGTCCTTCCTCTAAGCAGAGAAATTGGGCCCAGCACTCCTGGGTGCCTCTCATCCCTTCTCTGTATGTATTTACCATAACCTCACCGTAACCTTCCTCCTTCCTCCATGAGATACTGACTCTTCCCCTTTTTCCTCCTTTGGATCTGAAGGTCAACAGAAGACATCATTTAGCCCCTACTTAATCTGCCTGTGTTCTCTGGAAAAGACTCACTTGGAAAGCAGGGGTGGGAGAGAGGGCAAGGAACGTGCCTGCTCTTAGACCCACTTAGAAACTTAAAAAAATAAATTGTTTATCAGACTTAAATATTTCTCTTTAAATCCAAACACCTGATCCTTGGGCCAGTTAAAGGAGAACGGTCTTAGCATCAATGTCAAATGGAATCTTTCCTTGTACACCCAGAAAGTGCTTAAAATTAGATGAAATTTTCATCTTCATACTTGAGCTGTACGTTTTTTTTCAGCTTTTTATTTTCCCTAGAGTTTTCAGTTGCCTTTCTCTTTTCTGTTGATGAAAGAATAATGTGCCTTCACCATATCCTCAAGTTGTTCAACTCCACTACTCATGAAATTGACCGCCATTCTAACTTCTATTCCTGCAGACGATTCTCTGGAGCCCCTCACTTTCCTGCTCTGATGAGGCTCAACCAGATGTTGTCATGTCTTTAGCACCATCGTCATTCTGGGACTTCCCTTCTTTGCTCTCCTGGGATGGAACCACGTTTTCTAGATTTCATGGCTTTTCTTTTTTGCCCCTCATTTAACTGGCTTACATCTTCAAGTAACTTTCTAAGAAAGGATACATGGGGTTGTAGGGGAAGCAGACTGCCCTTTTATGTCTGAAAATGCCTCTCTTGTTTTTGCCATGCTGTGTGGCTTAATTCCCTGACCAGGGATTGAACTTGGGCCCCTTCAGTGAAAGCACTGAGTCTGAACTACTGAACCACCAGGGAATTCCCTGAAAATACTTTCAATCTACTTTCAAACATAATTGCATTTAAGCTAAAAAAAAAAAAAAAAATTCTCTGGTCAACTAGGAAGGAGCTGGTGTGGTCCAGTGGAGAGTACTTGGGGTGATTCAGAATCTCTGTGTCCCAGCTCTACCTCTGGTTCTATGCATGGCTCCCTCCACCCGTAAATAGACGTGGCTGGATCAGATCACAGGTGGCCAGCTTTGATCTGGCCCACAAAGACATTCTGTGTAGGCCAGCACAGTGACCCAGGCATGCCTCTCCTAGGTATTTACCCATGAAATGAAAATGCATGTCCACACAAAACCCCATACATGAACATTTGTAGCTGCTTTATTCATAGTAGCCCTAAACTGGAAACAAGCCAAATGTCCATCAACTGGTGGGTGGATAAATAAATGGTGGTACATCTGTTATGTCAGGCTTCCCCAGTGGCGCTAGTGGTAAAGCATCTGCCTGTCAATGCAGGAAGACTCAAGAGACACAGGTTTTATCTCTGAGTCGGGAAGATCCCCCGGAGAAGGAAATGACAACCCACTCCAGTATTCTTGCCTATAAAATCTCATGGATAAAGGAGTCTGGCAGGCTACAGTCCATGAACTCGCAAAGAGTCGGATGTAACTGAGCATGCATGTACATCTGTTATGTCTAGATGTGGGTACTCTTCATTCATCCTGCCTTGCTCTTGGTAGGTCCTTTCAATCTAAGTCTCATTGTGAGGTCGCCAAGAGACTGCCTACTCTGGAAGGATGACCGGGTCAGGGCACCACGAGATGTCCCCATCCACAGGCCCTGGAAACAGACTCCCCAGCAAGAATAAGAAAAAGCAAAGGCAGTCAGGAAACACCTCCTTTCTCCCGCAGTGGTCCTCTTGCGCCCTCTACTGTCATATACTAGAACCACACTCACAAGGAGAAAGGAATGCTTGTTAAGTGTTCACAGGTGAATTGGGGCCTGAGAGGCAACAGATTGGTAACAAGCACACTTTCTGAAAGTCATTTCTTGTCTACTTTCTTACTGTTCCTTCTTCACTGCCTTTTGTTCTCACTCTGTGGTTGTAACTTCTCGAATTTTTCTGTGGACACAGATTATTTTCTCTCCCATTCCTGGGTTCATTGTTGCTTGTTTGTGTATCTTGTTATTTTCCTTCATACTGCTGTTTTTCCTTATAAGTCTGAAGATATATACTTCTCATTCATATTTATTTAAAAAGAATAGTGCTGAGTATTCCAGCAGCAGGTGGGGTTTCTTCTACTGTGCTATTAGTATGTCCTTTTCACCATGGGTCTCTTCTCTCAGCAGAAGGTCTGCAGAGATCCCAGGAGGGAACTCTGGGATCATGGGTGGGGAGTGTGAGCTGGAAGGCTTTCACTCAGGGTGACTGGGCAGGAATAGCCTACTGACAGGGTGTACTTCCAAAGACACAAGCAAAGAGGGCTTTGCACCAGAATGGCCAATACCTAGTTACCCCTAGATAGTCCTTCAATGTCGTTAGACAAAAATTTGATCATTTTCACCAGGATATAAAAACTCAGGCACCATCTCTCAGACTGGCCAGAACTCATGGTGTATCATTGCTGCATGTTTTGTCATTGTTGTTATATTCATCTGTTTTATTTTTTAGATTGCACTTTGGTTGGTTGGTTTTGCATTGTTGGTGGTTTAGTCATATCCACCTCTTGCGACACCATGGATTGTAGCCTGCCAGGGTCCTCTGTCCATGGAATTCTCCAGGCAAGAACACTGGAGTTGGTTGCCATTTCCTTCTGCAGGGGATCTTCCCAACCCAAGAATTGAACCTGTTCTTGAACCTGAACATTGCAGGCAGAATGTTACACATTTTTAATTTTTATGTTGGAGATGAAGTTGCAGCTTACTGCACTTTCTAATTCTCTGCTTCACACCCATTCTTCATTTTACTTACCTGGTCTGAGCCCAGAGCCTCCCTGGGGGTCTTATGAGCAGGTTACCTCTCACTTTTCTGCCAGCCTCAAGGAGTGAATTCTGGGGTGAGTTTTCCTCTACTTGGGTTCCATTTGTTACCACCCTGCCATCTGTTTTCAACCTTCTTAAAAATTGTTGAACTCTCTCATCTGCTGATGAACTCTTTTTTGTTTGTTATTTTGTCTGCTGTCGAGGGTTTATACTTTTTTTTCCACTCTGGCAAATGTCCACCATATGAATTGGAAGCTTCCTCATAAGCTTTATATGGATCTATCTTGAGTCAATAAAACAACCTTGTAAGCAAGTCAAGACTTTACCAGCCCAATACTTTGAAGGAGAAGAATAACAAAACTTTTAAATAATTTAAAACAATCATTAGAAACTCTTGCCAAAATGCCAAGTTTGGATTCTTTTTTTTATCATTTCCTGGATCTAACTATTTGAAGAGAAACCATAGCCCAAATCTGGCCTAGTTAATAGCTAGGAATGAAGGTCCTTTGCTGGTTGGAGGAGGGGAGCGGTACAGCTGTAGGGACCCAGAGCTCAGCCCCTTGGTTGGGCTGTGACCTGCTTACCCTGGAGCTTGGTGACCGTCCCTGGCGGGCAGTTGGGGCGGGTGACACAGCGGGCACAGGAATTGGTCACTGGCGTGGCACAGAACATGCCAGGTTGACACTCACAGATGCGGGAAGAGTTCCATGTGCAAGGCGTCTTCTCCACGAGGCCATCTGGGGGACAGAGAAGGGTCTTGAGGAAGGACTGGAATGAAGAGGGCAGGGATCCAGAGAACCCCTGGAGGGCAGAGATGTATTTGCCCAGGAACGCATGCTTATTTGATTATGCTGTTGAGCAGATCTTTTTGGTGCAGAAAGTAACTATGCCCAATGAAAGAAGTCGGACAAAAAAGGTGTATGTAGGGACTTCCCTGGCAGTCCAATGGTTAGGACTCCGTGCTTCCACTGCATGGGGCACAGGTTCGATCCCTGGTCGGGGAACTAAGATCCTTCAGGCCATTCAGTACAGCCAAAAAAAAGAAAAATGAGTCTATACTCTGATTCTGTTTATAGGAAAAGCCATAAAATGTAAACTCTGTCATAGTGACAGCATACCAAATGCCTGGGAATGGGAGTAGGGGCAGGGAATGGTGGGAGGGACGGTAAGGAGCTTAAGGAATCTTTTGAGAGGTGGACAGACAGTTCATTATCTTGATTGTGGTGATGGTTTCACAGCCACACACATGTCTCAAGACTTATCAAACTGCATACTTTAAACATGTGACTTTTATTGTATGTCAACTGTATCTATCTGTATCTAGTATGTCAACTGTATTTATTGTATGTATCTACATCTAGCAATTTACTATTACTATCTGTAATAGTAAAGCTATTAAAAGAAAAATCCTCCAAAAAAATTTTTTTAAAGAAAATAATTCAAAGATTAGGGATGAGTGAGCATGGGTAAAGATGAACCAAGACTGGCCATGACTTGATAATTCTTTAAACTTGGGTGATAGTTCATAACACTTCTGATTCTCTCTACTTCTGAGGATGTTTGAAAATTCTAATGATGAAAAGTGGGGTTTTCTCCAAAATAAAAAGAAATTGTTAGTGGTTTTATAAAATAAAAAGTGTAATAATGCAGTTATATATGTGTAGGGATATTCTGCATGCTTTATTAATGGGTGAAAATAGAGGACTATATCAGCGGATTAGATAAATGCAATTTGCCCAATAAAGACATTGGTGGGATACTTAGAGGCTTAGAAGCCTCTGCATGATAAAGACAAAGGACTGCATCATTAATTATAATATTATATTAACATAGCTAAGCCTGTTTGAGGCAGTGTTTCTAGCACTCTATCCAGATTAACTCAGTTTAATCTATTTAACTCTCAGAACACCTCTCTGAAAAAGGTCTGTTATAATGCCCATTTTACCGATGAGAAACAGCCCCAGAGAGGTTAAGAAACTTTCTTGAGTTTATAAGCTCCCAAGCGTAGAGCCAAGATTTGACCCTAGGCACTTGGGCTCTACTCCACAGCCTCGCAGGGCTTCATTTATGCAACTTGAAGGAATTCTGGGGCCCAGAGCCATCTCTTTATTTCCTCATCTGACACAGCAGCTGGGATAGATTATATTTTTTCCAGGAATGGCCACAGCAATAGCTTTCAGTCTGTCTGCTCTTCCAGAGCTTGGCCACTTACTCATCTAAAAACTCGACTTTTTTTCCCTTCCATGACTCCAGGGGGAACCTGTCCCCCTGCCTTCAGAGGCAGAATGCAGTGGAAGTTATGCCATGTAATTTCTGAAGGTGTGTTAGTTGCTCAGTTGTGTCTGACTCTTTGCAACCCCATGGACTCTAGCCAGCCAGGCTTCTCTGTCCGTGGGATTCTCTAGGCAAGAATACTGGAGTGGGTTGCCATTCTCTTCTCTGGGGGATCTTCCCAACCCAGAGATCAAACCCGGGTCTCCTGCATTGCAGGCAGATTCTTTACCTTCTGAGTAACTTCTGAAGCTGGGTCATAAAAATGAGTATGGTTTCTATCCTACTACCAACTCATCTTTGGGTTCAGCAGCCAGGACTTGAGGAAGCCCAAATAGCAGCTGACATGGAAAGGATCTTAGGGCATCGACCCCAGACCCGTGAATGAAGGTGCAGATGATTCCGGCTCCCAGCCTTCAGGTTTTCCAGCTGAAACCTCAGACCTCATGCAGCAGACACCAGCTGGCCCTCCAGCGTCAGGACTGAATTCTGACCCACAGACTCCATGACTACAATGAATGGTTTGCTTTTTGCCACTCAGATTTGAGAAAATTTGCTCTGTGGCCTTAGTAACCAGAACAGTAACCTCCAATGACCACAAACAGAATGTCCTTTCCCCCACGTGGCCTCCCCTGACTCCAGTCCATGTTGCTGCAGAGAGAGAATCACACCTCCCCCTGGTGGTGGAGGCTGTGAGTGGGCTGGGGCTACAGCCATGGCAGTCTGGGACCTGGGCAGCTGCTCGGACTTCACAGGGCAGCTGGTGGTGCTTCAGGCAGCGGGCCGCAGGGAGAACATCAGCAGTCAGTATCTAAGTGCTTGCACAGTGGTGCTCTAAGATGCAGTGGAGGGAGTGATGAGCCCAGAGCCTGGTAGCAGATGCCCTAGGTTCAAAATCCTGGCCCTGCCATTTGCGAGGGCTTGTGGCCCTGGAAGTCCCCTGACTTCCCCAAGCCTCAGTTTCCTCTTCTGTAAAATGGGGACAATCTCAATACAGGCATCATAGGATAGGTACAAAAAATAATGAGACAAGCTTGAAACGGGTAGCTGATTAACAAATGCTTCCTTGCAAGACAGAGTGAGTGAATGGAAACTCTCTGGAAGAGGGTCACGGCTATCAAAACCCACGATCGTCAGTGGAAGTCACTGGAAGCCGATTGCTCAAAAAGTGCCAGTGAGGTGAACCAGGCTCCTGAGGACTGAGCATCCAGGACCCAACTCAGGGCTCCAACCCCCAGATTCTTGGCCTCTCCCTCCAAGACCATCCCTGCTCTCTGGAAGAGGCCCCAGGAGGAGAGACATGGCCCTTACCTCCTGAACATGTCACACAGGCCTTGCAGCGACCATCCCTGTCCAGGTAGTAGTCGTGGTTACACTGCTTCCTGCAGTCAGCAGATCCCTGAGGGCACGGGGGCTGCAAGGTCAGCCCTGGGAAAAGAAAGAAAGAAGCTCCAGGCCAGGTCACGTTGGCAGAGGCCTCACCCTCACCCTATCCCACCCCCATCACTGAAGGCCACCCAGCTCCATGACCAGCTCCCAAACTCTGCACATGTCAATTAGTCCTTCAGAGGGCACCCTCAGGCTCAGAGAGGGAAGGAATGTGTCTAACGCCACACAGGAAAAGAGTGCTGACTGCCTCCAAAATGACCCTCCTGCTTCTGGTCCCTCCCCTTTGCCAGAGCCCTCTCTCCAGTCTCATTGCTCTGTCCCTTCCCTACTCAAAACTTTGGTAGCCACTCTCTCTTTGAGTTCAACAAGGATACAAGGATGCCTACCATCACAACTTCTATTCAGTTTGGTCCCATAGATCATAGGCAATGCAATAAGGCAAGAAAAAGAAACAAAACGAGCAAGGTTAGAAAGGAAGACATCAAGCACTTATGGAGAGATGATACCATGGACTGCACAGACCATCATAAGAATTTGTAGATACATTATTAGAAGGAATAAGTGATTTTAGCAAGATAGTTGGATATAAAGTCACTATATGAAAATCAGTTGAATGTCTATATATTTGCACTGAACTACATGAAATTGCTGTTTAGATAGGACAGAAATAATCAAATATTGGCATTTCATACAGTTCAAACTAGTACTAACAATAAAAATATTAGCATGTGAAGTATTGAAAAAGATATCATTTATATTATCACCAGAAATACCAAAGACATAAAAATCTAACAGAAAGATGTAAATATCTCTGCACAGATCATAATAAAACATTATTGGGAGAATTTAAAGAAGGCCCAAATGGGGAGAGGGATAAATTAGGCCGTTGGGATTAACATACACACATGACTATATATAAAACAGATAATCCTACCCATACATATATGGACCCTTGATTTACAACAAAGATGGCATGTAAAACAGTGAGGAAAGGACAATTTATTTGATAAATGGTGTGGATTCAACTGGATATTCATAGGGACACTTTAAACAAAGGCAAAACAGTAATGACCTTAGGAAATAAATGTAGGATGTTGTTGAGACCTCAGTGGAGGAAAAGCCTTGTAGAGCAGAACATGAAAAGCACTAGTTAGAAAGGAAATTTGACTACACTGAAATTAAAAACACCTCTTCATCAAAAGACACCATAAAGAGAATGAGAAGGCAAGCCACAGGGTGGGAGAAGATATTTTAAACACAACTATAAGACAAAGGGCTCAAACCCAGAATTATAAGAAGCCCTAGAGATCAATTCAAAAAAACAAAGGGAAATGAAAACATACATTCACCAAAGACTTGTTTTTCATTATTCACTACAGTCAAAAAGGAGAAACAACCCAAATATCCAAAAACTTTTGTTTGTTAAACAAAGTGTAATATTCTCATACATTCATGTACAATGGAAGACTATTGGGTAATAAACAGGAGAGAATGGGGACCCTAATCTGTTGCCATAGGAACCAGAGGTGGGCATCATATTGATATCTGCAGAGATGGGCCTCTTCCACTGCTCCAGCATGCCTCAGTGTCTGGTACCCAAACCAGGAAACAAATGAGTCCTTCCATTCTCTACTCCGGCCCTTGAAGGTCTCAGTCCCAGAAGGCCTTGAGATCCTATTCTCCCCATACTGGCTCAGTGACCATTTGCCCTGACCACCCCACACACAGTACCCCACCCATCAGACACTATTGCCCTGGAGACAGCCCCTGGGTCCTCTGGAGAGCTTACCTGGATCTGGATCGAGCTTCCCCATGAAGGAGCTGGAGTTGGGAGTCATTTTAGAAGCATCTTCTGGGGTGAGGGGGATGCCCCCTCCAAGAAGCATGGTCCTGGCACCAGGGCTTGCTGGGGAGGTCAGGGCGGGCTTGGCCTGGGAGATGGCGCCACTGGGAAGGAAGCGAGAGATGGGACTGGCAATTCTTCTGATGGTGCAGGGGAATCTGTGCTCAGGGATACCCATTTCTATAGAGAAGAGGCCCCCAGACTGTGCCCATAGATTCTGGCAGGCCCTCTGTCAGATCCTGGGAGCAAGAGCTGTATTTTCTTGTCCTTCTGGGTCTCCTGTGTGCCCAGGGCAGGCTGAGCACACAGTAGGGCCTCAATGACCTTTCTGCTCAGCAGAGAGGCCCCCTGGATTCCTGACCCCCTGGACTGACCCCCACCCACATCCCCAGCCCACAATGCCCTGGGTCTCCCATCAGGTGGGACAGCCCCACAGTAGGGTCAGCTGGATAGTGGGGGGCTGAGAGTCACCTGGTGGGGCCCTTGCAGTCCTGCAGGCTGGTGCTGCAGTTGGGGCTGGCCCCTTGGGAAGCCGGCTCACAGACGGTGTCCCTCTGTGCTGTGCCTGCAGGGAGGACAGAGATGCCTTCAGCTTTGGTGTTGAGGAGCCAGAGACTCCAGGAGTAGACCTTTTACCACCACAACCCAGGGAAACACAGCGGCCATCTGATCTCTGTACCTGCCCAGCATCCGTTCCCCTTTGGGGTAAAGTAGCCCAGCTTTCCCTGGAGAATTACACCTCCCAATCTGTGTCTGTGGTAAGGAGCTGGGACTGACTGACCACCCCACTCCCATTTCCAGGAATTGCCACGGGACAGGCTGGACCAATCAATCCATCCCATTCCTGTGGCCATGATGGGCTGGCTCAGGGGAGGGCACATGATGCAAGCCATGTCTATGAGATGCAACTTCAGGGTTTTGTTTTTGTTGTTGAGAATATGGGAAGGAGAAGCAGATTTTCCACTGGGGTTGAGTAGGAAGCAAGTCTGGAGCTGCTGGTAGATATTTTACAGGAAAAACAACACACAGTGGGATAGAGATGAGAGATGGAGAAAAGACAGAGCTCCTGGATCCAGTCATACCTGAAGTTCTACAAAGAAAATTTTCAATTACATGAACCAGATAATTTGTGACTTGCAAATGAAGAGTTCTGAAGAATACTGGGTGGAAGCAGAGTGGAGAAGAAAACATAGTGCTTTCAATCAAGTGGACCTGTGTTTGAAAGTTTTGGTGGAAGTGGCTATGAGTGAGGCTGACTCATCTCATCTACCTGCACTGTGGTGGGGTGACAAGACTTGAGCATAAGGTTCAAACGTTAGATTAGATATTCCCTGCTCTGTGGTCTTAAGCAATTACCTGCCATCTCTGAACCTCAATTTCCTTACTTGTAAAATGGGGCTAATGCAGCCTTATGGAGTCTGGAAAATTTCAGAGGAGAAAGTCGATGCAAAGTCTTAGGGTAAGACTTAGCTATAAGCTCCATCTGAGGCAGAAATTACTTTCCATTTTATAGCTGGAGAGACTGAGGCCCTGAGAGTTGTTCGGTGGGAACTCTCACAGAGGAATCAAGCCAGGGTTTGGCAACCTAAGGTTGGAGTACTTTTCAAGCAGTGCTATCCAATAAAATATGTGGATCACAAGTCACCATTTTAAATTTTCTAGTAGCCAAATTTTGGATAGTAAAGAAGAAACAAGTGAAATTAAGCAATACATTTAACCCCATATATCTAAAATATGAACTTTCCTGAAGGCTCGACAGATAAAGAATCTGCCTGCCAATACAGGAGATGCAGGCTTGATCCCTGGTTTAAGAAGATCCCCTGGAGGAGGAAATGGCAACCTGTTCCAGTATTCTTGCTTGAAAAATCCCAGGGAGAGAGGAGCCTGGAGGGCTTCAGTTCAAAGGGTAACAAAGAATCGGACACAAATTATGCCAACAGATAATCAACATAAACCAGTTAATCCTAAAGGAAATCAACCCTGAATATTCATTAGAAGGACTGATGCTGAAGCTCCAATACTTTGGCCACCCGATGTGAGGAGCCAACTCATTGGAAAAGACTTTGATGCTGGGAAAGACTGAGGGCAGGAGAAGAGGGCAGATGATGTGGTTGGATGGCATCATCGACACAATGGACATGCGTTTGAGCAAACTCCAGGAGGCAGTGAAGGACAGGGAAGCCTGGCGTGCTGCAGACTATGTGGTCACAAAGAGTCCGACACGACTGAGAGACTGGACAACAAAAATCAACATAAGAAAAATGAAATGTATACTTTCTGTGTACTAAGTTTTTGAAATCCAGCGCATATTCTATACTGACAGCCCATCTCAAGTGACTGACCACATTTTAAGTGCTCAGCAACCAAAGATGGCCAACGGTACAGCTTTGGGCAGCTGGCCTGGAGGGGCCAGAAAGAGCGGCCTCTGGCGCCACCGTGTGGCAGATGCAGGAATGCCATCGAGAGAGCCAGAGCTGGTCCGCAGGCAGCCGCAACAGAACTCAAAGCAGCTTTTCTTAGAGAATAAAGAGCTTCTAAGCAAGAAAAGTTACACTTCCTCTTTTACAGAAGGTGAGACTGAGGCCCAGAGAGGGCTGGGAACACACCCCACAGATGCAAAGCTGTACAAAATTCCAGGTATCTGATGCCTAGTTCAGAGCCCTTTCCCAGGTGGCACTAGTTGCCATTGAAGAAGACACAGGAGAGAGATGCAGGTTCAATCTCTGGTCTGGGAAGATCCCCTGGAGAAGGGAACAGCTCCTCACTCCAGTATTCTTGCCTGAAGAATCCCATGGACAGAGGAGCCTGGGAGGCTACGGTCCACAGGGTCGCACAGAGTCGGACAGGACTGCAGTGACTTAGCATGCATACATGCACCTCGCCTGCCTGCAGGTAGCAGGCTTCTGAGGATCCGTCTATTGAGGGTTCTGAATGAGCAGGGCGAATCCAACCAGATTTGAACTCCACCCGTCCATTCCCAGCTCTGATCTCCTGGTCACATCAGTCAATAGACATCTCTGAAAAGCAGATACCTCGCCTCGCGGGGAGATGACTGTGAATGTGCTGGGCATGGTCCTGGCCCTCGCGAAGCTACTGGGAGAGAGGGAGACACGTGCTGACCACACTGAGACAGAGGCCAGTGTTCACATCCATGTTGGGAAGGAGACGTGGTCTGTGAGAAGTCAGGAGGTGATGTCTGGACAGACAGCTGAAGGCAGAGTTGAGTTCAGTGGGTGAACAGGGAAGGAAGGGTGTCCCAGAAAGAGGGAACAGCATGTGCGAAGGCCTGGTAGAGGGAGAAGCAGGGCACATCCATGGACCAAAACGGAGAAACCAGCTCTAATCTTCTGGGAAACGCCAGGACAGAAACGTCAGGTTTTTTTCTTGCTTATCAAGTATCAGAGGATTTCTGCCCCGAGCCTCAAGCCAACCCAAGACCTCCTCCAGCCAGGGCAATGCCTGGAACTCTTTCTGAGCCTGGGACCTGAGGTGCAGGGAAGGGACCTCAGGGGCCCCTGGGTGTACCCTCGGCATCATCATGATAGGAGATGTCATCTGTCCAGCAGGAAGGAGGAGGTGGGAGGTCGGGGTGTGGTGGGGATACTCACCCACAGATACTCATCAGCACAGATCGTGGTCCTGGGCGGTGGGGATACTCACCCTGCAACCTGACAACCATCCCCGCTGGGCAGACAGAATGGGGGATGCAGCGGGCACAGGAGTTGACGACTGATGTGCCACAGAACATGCCGGCCCGGCACTCACAGACGCGGGAGGAGTTCCTTGAGCATGGCTTCTTCTCCACGAGGTCTACGGGACACAGAGAAAGGTCACTGCGGACTCAAAGAGGGTGAGGGAAGGGACCCAGAAAGCCCCCACGGACAGTCCAGCCACGAGGGAGGACACTGCTGTGGTCTTCTGCTGGGCAGGGCAGCTGGCATGCTCCGCTCTTCCTTCCAGACTGTTCCTGAGATGAGGGCAAGAAGGCAGATAGGGTCCATGAGGCAGCCTCCACCTCCTAGCCCACATCCCTGGAGATCACAAAAATGATATTAAAAATAAATGAATGTCCCAATATTAAAATGGGCAAAAAAGACAGGGTGGGATATTACATGTCTATTTCGAAGTGAAAGCAGCCAAATGGAAAGGCTACCTACTGTGATTCTAACTACATGACATTTGGGAAAGACAAAACTAGGGAGATAGTAAAAAAATCAGTGGTTGCCAGTGTTTGGTAGGGGTGGGGGAGGGGAAGATGAATGGGCAGAGCACCAAGGATTTTTAGGGCAGTGAAACTATTCTGTATGCTACTGCAACCAAGGATAGATGACATTGTAAGTTTGTCAAAAACTAGAATCTACAATGCAAAGAGTGAACCTTAATGTAAACTATGAACTTCAGTTAATAATGCACCAACATTGGTGCATCAGTTGTAACAAGGTACCACACTAATGCAAGATGTTAATAACACTGGGGAGTAGTGGGAAATCTTTTTACTTCCTGCTCAGTTTTTCCTATAAATTGAAAACTACAAAAAAAAAAGTCTACTAAATTTTTTTCAACGGGCAAAAGAATACCCCTCTCCAAGAAGATATACAAGTGGCCAGAAAGCTCTTGAAAAGATGCTCAATATCATGAGTCATCAGATCCATCCATTAGTCATAAACCAAAACCACAATGACAGACCACACTGGATCCACTAGGATGACAGAATATAAATGTCAGACAGTGACAATAGTGGGTGAGGATGTGGAGAAACTGGAATCCTTTTAGAAGGCTAGTGGGAATATAAAGTAGGACAGAGCTGTGGAAAGGAGTCTGGCAATTCCTCAAAAAGTTAAATATAGATTTACCATATGATCTGGCAATTCTACTCCTAGATACATACCAAAGACAACTGAAAACATATGTCCATACAAAACTTGTTGGTGAATGTTCATACTAACATTATTCATACTAGCCAAGAAGTAGAAACAATCCGATATTCATCAATTGATAAACAGATAAACAAAATGTGCTATAGCCATATAATAAAATATTATTCAGTCATAAAAAAGGAATGATGTACTGATACACACTACAAATGGATAAACCTTGAAAACACAACATAAAGTGAAAGAAGCTAGACACTAAAAGCCACAAACCTCATGATTCCATTTACACGGAATGTCTAGAGTAGGCAGATCCATTGAGAGAGAGACTTGATTAGTGATTGCCAGGGGATGGAAGGGCGGGGGGAGAATTAGGAGCTAAGGGGGTTTCTTTTTTTTTTAATTGAGATAAAGCTGATGTACAATATTATATGTTTCAGGGATACAACATAGTGATTCACAATTTTGAAAAGATATAATCCATTTATGGTTATCACAAAGGAATTCTCTGGGGGGAGGGAATGTTCTGGAAATAGATAGACATTGTGAATATAAAACCACAGCACTGTATACTTTAAATGATGAGTTTTATCTTCTAAAAAAATCACTTGTAAAAATAATAGTAAATGCAAATATCCCTGAGAAAACAAGAAGGGGCATCCTGGGTCAACCAGAAATGATGAGGCCTTCCTGGAACAAGGAAGGCAGATGGGGTTGGATGGAAAAAGGAGACCATAGCCCAAAATATACCCAAGGGGATTATGCTGGAAGAGGCCATGGTGCTTGTCTCCAAGTGGGTGAATGGCCAGGGCGTTAGGGAGGGAATGTGACAAGGAGGGCAGCAGCAGCACCCAGCTAGGTCCCTCACCCTGCACTCCTCATCCATTCATGCCACAGAGCTAAGAAGCCAAGCATCTCCCCAAGGACACTCAGGTGAGGTGAGCTGATCAGCCCTGGGGGGGGAGGAAGGGACCCTGCAGACCCAGAGGAGCAGCCTCTGGCAGACCCCGCCCAGCACCTCGCTCACCTTCCCTGCCTTTGGAGGCGGGTTTCACCCTCCACCCCCACCCCACCTTCCCCACCTCCCACCCCTTCCCAGGTCATCAGATACCACGTGCAGACCTTGAAGTCACCAAAACTCAAAGAAAAGCAGCACCAAGAAAAAAGAGCCCCAAACTCAAACAGAACTAACGCTTAAGAAAACAGATAAAAGAGAAAACAGATCATGCCTTTGGAATAGATACACTTAATACCCTCTGAGAGACAAAAGAAAATTATAGCTATGACAAGGAATCCCCTAGGGCACGATGACTGCGTTCCCAATTTCTGTTTCAAATGGGTTCAGAAAAGACTGCATTTCCCAGCCTCCCTTGAGGCTGGATGGCCGGTCGTGTGACTATATTCTGGCCAATGGGATGTGGGCAACCATGACAAAATTCCCTTCCCCTACACCTGGCCCTAAAACCATTTCAGGATACTTTCCTCTCTCTTCCTTGTTGCAATGATGCTGGTGTAGCCCCTCATTCTCACTTGAACCCCAGAAGCTTTACTGAGGAGAGAATAAAATCCTGAGAATTTTCAAAAATCTGGAGAAACCAACTAAAAGCAGTGAGTAGACATCCATGGAAAACTAAAGAAAAAACAAACTCTTTGAGCAGCTGCCGGCCCGTTAATGTCACAGGCGTGGGCAGAGGCGGAAAAGACTGCCTGGATTTGCCAATTGCAGGAAGCCAAGCCAAGTGGGAGGAATGAGCAGGAGCCCTAGGAGTGGGTGCACCCCTTTCTAGGCAGCAGGAGCTTGATAAAGACTCTGACAGGAGGGAAGGCAGACCCCCCCGCCACCAGGACAATACCTATCTCTGGCTGCTCTCTGACCCCCCACCAAGGTCCTTGGAGCTCCTAAAATGAGTTTCAAAAGTAACATTCAAGATTCCTCAAGAAATTAAACATACAATTCCCACATGATCCAGCAATTCCTCTGCTGAGTGTTGACCCAAAAGATCTGAGAGCAGGGACTTGAACAGATATTTGTACAAATATGTTCATAGCAACAATATTCACAATAGCTAAAAGGCAGAAACAGCCCAAATGCCCATGGACATCAACAGTTAAACAAAATGTGGTAGATACGTCCAATGGAATATCATTCAGCCTTAGGAAGGAAGGAAATTCTGACATGTCATAACATGGATGCACCTTGAAACCATTATGCTAAGTGAAATAAGTCACAAAGGATAAGTATTATATGATTCCACATCTATGAGCATCCTAGAGTAGTCAAATTCATAGAGAGAGGGAGTAGAATGGTAGTTGTCAAAGGCTTATGGTTGGGGGTGATGTGGAGCTAGTATTTAATGGGGACAGAGTTTCAGTTGCGGAAGATGAAAAAATTCTGGAGCTAGGTGATGGTGATGGTCACCCAAAAATATGAATGTACTTCATGCTGCTGAAGAGTACACTTTTTTTTTCTTTTGAACTTTTTCTTTTGTATTGGAGTGTAGCCGATTAACAATGTTATGATAGCTTCAGATGAACAGCAAAGGAATTCCTCCATACATATACATGTATCCATCCTCCCCCAAACCCCTCTCCCATCCAGGCTGCCATATAACATTGAGCAGAGTTCCATGTGCTATACAATAGGTCCTTGTTAGTTATCCATTTTAAATACAGCAGTTTTCGACAGTATACTTTTAAATGGTTAAACTAAGAAGTTTTATGTATATTTTACCATGATTATTTTTAGGTAACCCTCAGGAATTCTCTGGTGGTCAGTGGTTAGGACTCAATGCTTTCACTGCAATGGCCTGGGTTCAATCCCTAGTTGGGGAGCTAAGATCCTGCAAGTCACAGAGTGCAGCCAAAAAAACCCAAACAATTAACTCTCAGTTAATTGTTGGTAAAAGCTGGTAAAGAATCCAGCTGTGATGCAGGAGACACAGGAGATGTGGGTTCAATCCCAGAGTCAGGAAGATCCCCTGGAGAAGGAAATGGTAACCTACTCCAGTATTCTTGCCTAAAAACCTCCATGGACAGAGGAGCCTGGCGAGTTACAGTTCATGGGGTTGGTCGCAAAGAGTCAGAGAAGACTGAGCAATTAAGCACACACAGCTCAGTGGAAGCTCTGAGCTGGGAAGACACGCAAGCCCAGTGAGGTGGGGCCGGTGTGGAGGAGAAATCCCTCACACTGTGTCAGGAACAGAGTTGCTGCCGTGGCTGAGCTTGAGCGAGAAGGAAAAATATAACGTGGCAACTATGTGAATGTGCTATAGCGGGAAAGACGACAGAAGGGAGGGAGGGGAGAAGACAAGAAAGAGAGAAAGTTCTAAAAAAGATAGGAATATAGTTTGCAAGGACAAAGAACCCAGTCTACAACAGATAAGCAATCCTAGGAGTGCTTCACACTATAAAGGAACTTAATAAGAATATAGCTTCTCTGGTGGCTCAGACAGTGAAGAATCTGCCTGCAACGCAGGAGACCCGCGTTTGACCCCTGGGTCAGGAAGATCCCCTGGAGAAGGAAATGGCAACCCACCCCAGTATTCTTTTCTGGCAAATTCTAGGGACAGAGGAGCCTGGTAAGCTATAGTCCATGGGGTCACAAACAGTCAGACACAACTGAGCCACTAACACACAGTAATAATATAAATTCAAGAAAGGAAGAGTTTTTTTTTTTTAAAGATGATTTTTCTAAAGGATGAGATAAGAAGGAAGACTGCAGAGCAAAGAAAACAAACTGAGGTACACAGCACCATCATTAGAAATTCAAAAAGTGAACTACCAGTATCCTGGGGGCCCTGTGATACCTGGGCTGCAAGAAATAAAAAAGGTTAGATGGAAAATTGAGTTAATGGCATGGAGAAAAGATTGAAAAAACACCAGTGAATGCAAGGTAAAAAGGCAGATATTCATGCAATGAATGAAGATGATGGAAAAGGAGGAAAAGCAAGACAAACATAAGAAAAACTGGCATCTGTCAAGTTGCCATTGAGATGTATCTGTTGAACAGAAATAAAAAAATACATGTAAATTCCCCTAAAATGAAGAACTAAATCTGCAGATAAAAAAGACATACCAGATACCAGGAAGAATTGTTCGCAAACAATATCACAGCATATTCTGGCTAAGTTTTTGATCCTTAAGAATAGAGAAAGAATGATTCTTGGAGTCACCTACAAAGGTGGGAGGAAAAAGCTGACTGCAGAATCTTTCACGGAAATATTTTTTTTACATTGTGTTTCAAAACGTCTTTATCTTTTATATAGCTCCACTATATATTACAAATACTTTTTAAGTAGATAAATTAAGATTTTTAGATGGAGTTTCAATATCAAACTCTCAAAAATTAATAGAATGACTATACAGAGAAGTAGAAGGATATAGTAGACCTGAAAAGCACCATGGACCACTTCAATATAAATAAGATTTATACAATGTTCACACAAGAGTAGGATACAAATTCTGTTCGAGCTCCCATAGACTACAAACTAGGAGGCACTGAAATATATCCAGAGATATATAGAACAAGGTGCAAAAATTTCATCGTCTAAAGGTGTTGAAGTCATACAGTCTGTTCTCTTATCACTATGGAATTATGTTAGAAATCAATATCAAAAGATAATTGAAAATAGCTCACATATTTTCAAGGGCAATGCCTCCATAGCACTATTTACTACAGGAAGACAGTGTACCAATCCTACCAAATTCTAGAGAAAATATATCCCAGAATAATATTATACCTGTCCAAGTGGTCATTCCAGTTTAGAGACACATATTTTCAAACATGAAAGAAGTGAAGGAAGGTGCAAAAGAATCCCTGGAAAGTTCACATGACAGTGAAACCTGACCAATCAAGTGATAAATCAAAATGAAAAAATTCAGGAATGAGAAGCTGTGATAAATGGACTCATAATGCACAATGGATAAATTTAAGTAACAAAGTAAAGCTAGCGTGGACTTAGGGCTACAGAAAAGAAGATCAACATCACAGACTGTGCAGAGCAAACATAATGTAAACTATAAAAGTCAGGAAGAGGATGGGGAGGCCAACAAGTCATTCATTTTTCATTACAGGGAGTCAAGCAACTCTCTGCTACCCCAAAATTGAAACAAGTAGAATATGACTTTACCACAAGAGACAGTCATTCCTTCAATGATTCCTAACCACTTATTGATTTTCATAACCTCTTCTGTTAATTTCAGAGGGTTTTTTTTTAAACCCTTGTGATATCTCTTGTGATAGTCTAGTTTCTTCACTTTTCTTTCTCCTCTGAAATATTTGAATAAAGTTAAAGATAATCATTTTCACGCCCTAAGCAGTAAGATCTCATCCTCTTGAAGATTCCTTTTTTCTGTGTGTGTATAGTATGTCTGGCTACGAACCAACCCATTCTTCTCTCTACAGAGAGGGAGAGAGGTGTCAGTCACCCACTGACTGGGGAGCAGCAGAGCTGGCTTTCTTCCTTACACTTGTGTATTGCTTGAATTTTATGTTGTTGCTGTTTTGGGGGCAGTTTTTGTCTGTTTGTTTTTTGGCCACACCCATGGCATGTAGGATATTAGTTTCCTAACCAGGGATGAGTTGGACTGTGAAGAAAGCTGAGTGCCAAAGAATTGATGCTTTTGAACTATGGTGTTGGAGAAGACTCTTGAGAGTCCCTTGGACTGCAAGGAGATCCAACCAGTCCATCCTAAAGGAGATCAGTCCTGGGTGTTCATTGGAAGGACTGATGCTGAAGCTGAAACTCCAATACTTTGGCCACCTCATGCGAAGAGTCGACTCATTGGAAAAGACCCTGATGCTGGGAGGGATTTGGGGCAGGAGGAGAAAGGGATGACAGAGGATGAGATGGCTGGATGGCATCACCGACTCGATGGGCATGAGTTTGAGTAAACTCCGGGAGTTGGTGATGGACAAGGAGGCCTAGAGTGCTGCAATTCATGGGGTCACAAAGAGTCGGACACGACTGAGCGACTGAACTGAACTGAACTGAACCAGGGATGGAAACCATGACCCTTGTACTGGAAGTGCAGTCATAACCACTGGACCGCCAGGGAAGTTCCTGCTTGAATTTTTGTGAAGGATGCATATGACTATTGTTTAATAAAATGAGGTCAACAATTTTAAAAATTGTAACGCTATATCAGAGAAATGCTAACATAAACAAAGAAGAATGGCAATCTTAATATCAAGCAAAAATTAAGGCAAACACATTATAAGAAACAGAGAGGTGTATTTCATGTCGATAAGAGGTCCAACCCACGAGGATAATATGATACTCATGAACACAGTACCTAATAACATAGCTTTGACACTTATAAAACAAAAATAGATAGAACACTATGAAAATCTGAGGAAAACAAGCATGTTGGGAGACAGATTTCAACACATCTGTCTCAGAAACCAACCTTTGTGAAAGCGACAAAATAAATAAGGATGCATCTTATTAAAAGAACATAAGTATTAACAAGCTTGGTCAGACAGGTACACATGGAATTCTGTACACAACAAACATAATACGTGTTTCTCCTCAAACACACTAACCATACTAAACAGTATGAAAACTTATTTGTTGTTGTTTAGTTGCTGAGTCATGTCCTACTCTTTACAACCCCATGGACTGTAGCCCACCAGGCTCTTCTGTCCATGGAATTTCCCAGGCAAGAATACTGGAACATTAATAATTCATAAATTAATAAATGGGCTGCCATGTTCTTCTCCAGGGCATCTCTCTGACGTAGAGCCTGAACCCGCGTCTCCTGCATTGGCAGATGGATTTTTACTACTGAGCCACTAGGGAAGCCCACAAAAATGTATTAGGCCAGAAGAAATCTCAACAAATTTCCCCATCCTCCCCCCCAAAAAACCCAACAAACAAATATGAGATAGCACACAAACCACACTCACTACCCTTAATAAGAAGTTAACAATAAACGCACTTATTGAAAATGTTCTCCTGGAAGCACTGTGGTCTTGGGAAAGAACAGCCCTTGGTGTCAACCCAATAGCTGAAACTCTAGTGCTCCCATGAACCAGAGCACTGTAATTTCAGAAAGGCCCTCAACCTCCCTAAGCTTCGGTTTCCTCACTGTAAAGCTGAGATAAGAAAAGAATCTTCCCCTGGGGTTTAGCAGAGTCAATGTGTAAGTGTACATCCCTCCATCAAGGAAACATCGTATCGATAATTAAGCCTCTAAATAGCATGGATGCAGGAGGGCAGGAGGGAGGCTCTAGAGGGAGGGGATATGTATAGACTTATGGCTGATTTGCACTGCTGCTGGCAGAAACCACCCTAATGGCAGAAAATGAAGAGGAACTAAAGAGCCTCTTGATGAGGGAGTAAAACAGCTGGCTTGAAACTCAACATTCAAAAACCTAAGATCATGGCATCCGGTCCCATCACTTCATGGCAAATAGAGGGGGAAAATGTGGAAGCAGTGAAGATTTTCCCTTCTTGTGCTCCAAATTCATTGTAGATGGTGACTGCGGCCATGAAATTCAAAGACCTTTGCTCCTTGGAAGGAAAGCTATGATAAACCTAGATGGCGTATTAAAAAGCAGAGAGATCACTTTGCCAACAAAGGCCCATAGAGTCAAAGATATGATCTTTCTACTCGTCATATACGGGTGTAAGAGTTAGACATAAAGAAGACTGAACACTGAAGAACTGATGCTTTTGAATTGTGACCCTAGAGAACTCTTGAGAGTCCCTTGGACCGCAAAGAGATCAAACCAGTCAATCCTAAAGGAAATCAACCCTGAACATTCATTGGAAGGACCGATGCTGAAGCTGAAGCTCCAATACTTTGGCCAGCCATGCAAAGAACTGACTCATTGGAAAAGACCCTGATGCTTGGAAAGATTGAAGGCAGGAGGAGAAGGGAACGACTGAGGATGAGATGGTAGGATGGCATCACCGACACAATGGACATGAGTTTGAGCAAACTCCAGGAGATGGTGAAGGCCAGATCTGCCTGGCGTGCTGCAGTCCATAGGGTCAAGAAGAGTGAACCACTGAAGAACAGCAACAGCAGAAACCAACACAACATTGTAAAGCAGTTATCCTCCAATTAAAAAAAAGTATGAGTGCAAAATATCACAGCTGATATCAATTCATAGATGCAGAGAGGTAAACTGAAGCACCAGGGGGCTGATTCAGAGGACAAGCACCAAATCTCGTTTCTCGCCACCTCCCACCTTCCAGGTGCTCTGCCTCCCCTGCCTCCCTCCCACCCCCAAGGCCCCCATCCTCCCTGGAAGGAGCAGGGGAGGAGAGACGCAGCCCTTACCTCCAGAACAGCTCACACAAGCTGTACAGCGGTCATTGATGTCCAAGTAATAATCGTGCAGACACTGCCTCTCGCAGTGGTGGGACCCCTCTGGGCACAGCTGCTTCGGGGAATACCCTGGGGAAGAGAAGCAGAGATGCTCCTGGTCAGGTCACCTTGGAGGGTCATTGCTGCAGGGCCTGCCTCAGAAGGAGATGAGTAGGAGGTGACATCGACAGAGAGAAAAGGACTCCTGAAGTCATCATTCAGACCTGAATTATGGCACCACAGACCCCTCTGTTATTGAGCCAATTATTTCCCTTTTGTCTTGTTTGGGCTTAAGTGAGTTAGCTGCTGTTTGTTACAACCAAAAGAATCTAGACTAGGGACTTCCCTGGTGGTCCAGTGGCTAAGAATCTGCCTCGTAATGCAGGGGATATGGGTTTAATCCCTGGTCTGGGACGGTCCCACACGCCATGGGGCAGCTGAGCCCGTGTGCCACAGCTACTGAAGCCCAAGCGCCTAGAACCCTTGCATCACAAGGAGAGAAGCCACCGCAATGAGAAGCCCCTGCACCGCAACTAGAGAGTAGACCTTCCTCCCTGCAAGAGTGCAGCAACGAAGACCTAGGGCAGCCAAAAAATTAAGTAAATAAAATTTTTTTTTAATTAAAGAAAGAAATGAGCAAGTGGGTTTCCAATGTGGAGACAGCCTTGGAAGAACATAGAACAGGAGCTCCAAGAGAGGAAGGCAGTGGGGAGAGGAGTGATTGCCTGAGACAGTAGGAGGGGGGCCCACGGAGCCCCAAAGGACTGAAGGAGGTGGGGTGGGGTGGGGAGAGTGCGGGCAGCATTCCAGGCGGAGGGAGCCGCCAGTGCAGAGGCCCTATGGGAGGGACAGAGGTGGCTGGTACAGAGATCAGAAAGGCCGCAGGGGCTGAAGAAATGATGCTGGAGCTTCTGGAGCTCACGCAGCAGAAGATGAGGCGTGTTCATTCACTGCTTGTTTCTTCTTTTCCCATACTCCACTTAGATCTTCTTCCCTGAGCACCACTTTTAGAATACAAAATCGAATGGTTGAGAAAGCAGCCCTGACATACATACACTGCGTGTGTGTGCACACAGTCACTCAATCGTGTCCGACACTTTGCAACCTTCTGGATTGTAGACTGCCAGGCTCCTCTGTCCATGGAATTTTCCAGACAAGAAAACTGGAGCAGTTTGCCATTTACTACTCGAGGGGATCTTCCTGACCCAGGGATCGAACCTGTGTCTCTTGCGTCTCCTGAACTGGCAGGTGGATTCTTTACCACTGAGCTACCAGGGAAGCTACCATGTGTAAAATAGCTAGTGGGACGCTGCTCTGTAACACAGGCATATCAACTTGTGCTCTGATGATCTAGAGGCGTGGGATGGGGGGTGGGAGGGAAGGAGGTTCAAGAGGGAGGGGACATATATATATATATATATATATATATATATACTTATGGCTGATTTACACTGCTCTATGGCAGAAACCAACACAAGGCTTCCAAGGTGGTGCTAGTGTTAAAGAACCTGCCTGCCAACGCAGGAGACATAAGAGACGTGGGTTTGATCACTGGGTCAGGAAGATCCCCTGGAGGAGAAAATACCAACCCACTCCAGTATTCTTGCCTGGAGAACCCCATGGAGAGAGGAGCCTGGCCGGCTACAACCCAGGAGGTTGCTAACAGTCGGACACTGAGCGAGTGAGCGGGCACCCACGCACGGTGTATGTGCAGCAGCTACTTTCTCAGCTTTTTGGTTTTTTTTAATGGAGTAGCGAGTCGGACGTGACTGAAGCGACTTAGCACGCATGCGCACGACCCAGCATTGGAAAGCAATTTTCCTCCGACTGAAAAATAAGTTGAGAAAAAGAAACCGAATGGTGAGGAAAGCCTCTGGCGTTGTTCTGGCTCTCAGAACCGGTTCCCAAGTGTCGCTATGTGCTGATGTGCCCAGCCTCTGAACGGCGCCTTTGTGACTCCAGATGTTCTCAGGGTTTGTCCTCCCTTTCCCGTCACCGCCTCTCACTTCTGGCTCAGCATCAGGCAACCCCGGCCGCAGCTGCTTCGGCCCCAGAAACTCCCACACAGAGAGCTGCTTTTCGCTGAGTCTGGGCCGCCAGTCCCTCCGCCCTCCCCTCCCCCAACCCACTTCACACCCTTATTGTTGTTGTTGAGTCACTAAGTCACGGCAGACTCTGTGACCCCATGGGCTCCTCTGTCCATGGGATTTTCCAGGCAAGAACACTGGAGTGGGGTGCCGTTTCCTACTCCAGGTAATCTTCTCGACCCAGGGATCGAATGCACGTCTCCCACATTGCAGGTGGATTCTTTACCACTGAGCTACCACACCCTTGACAAGCTAAATGGAGCTCCTCCCATTCTTGAATGCCCATCCCTGCCCACTCCAGGCCTTGGCATATTCTCCATCCCCTAATCAGAGCATACCCACTCCCCACCTTGGCTGACTCCTGCTCATCCTCAGGACATCTCCTCTAGGAAGGACCCCCCTGCATGTTCCAACCAAGTCAGGTTCCCTGGAGTGTGTTCTCAGGGCTCCCAGATGCTAACTGCCTGGTGCAGCAGACACATTTCAGATGGACTTTTCAGTCCACAGATTGACTTTCTTGGAGAACTGCCCCCATTCCCCTACTCCCTGCCCTGCTAGCAGTGATCCAAGGCAGTTCTGTCATTGGGGAACCAGAGCAGAGGTGGACTCTGGCCTTATCTGAGCCATCAGATGCTTTCTTCTTGTGCTTTGGGACTGGAGCTGGAAGATGTTTGTCGGGCATCCCCCCATTGCCCTGAAGGAGAAACCCAAATGGGGAGGAAACTGAGGGCCAGCCAAGCTCAGCCAGAGCGGGTAGGGCTGCCTCCTACTTGAAGAAACCCTCAGCTCCCCCAGGGACAAGACAGGGTCCACCCACCTGGCCCCAAACAAACCTTGCTCTCTGCCTAACACCAGGCCTGTCTTCAAATCCGCCCCGCTCCCCCATGCCTGGGGGAGGCGCCTCCTGTGAGAAGGTTAGTCTGGGCACAAAAAGGGAGTGATCCAGAAAGCAGGATGCAGAATAGGAAAGGGGCAACCCCCACATGGGCTCTTCAGTTTTTCAGCCCCTCCAAGTTTTGGGGCTTTTTTAAAAAAAAATAATTTTATTTATTTATTTTTGTGCTGTGCTGGTTCTTGTTGCTGCTCAGGCTTTTCTCTAGTTGCAGCAAGCAGGAACTGTACTCAAGTTGCGGTGCACGGGCCTCTCACTGCAGCTTCTCTTGTTGCAGAGCATGGGCTTTAGAGCAGTCAGGCTTCAGTCGTTGCGGCTCCCAGGCTCTAGGGCACAAGCTCAGTGGTCCTGGTCCACGGGTTTAGTTGCTCCATGGCCTGTGGGATCTTCCTGGATCAGGGATGGAAACTGTGTCTCCTGCACTGGCCACTGAGCCACCAGGGAAGCTCCCCTCCCTGTTCCTGAATGCCCATCCTTGCTCACTCCAGGACTTGGCACATTCTCTGTCCTCTAACCAGAGCATGCCGTTTTCCCACCTTGGCCCTGGCCAACTCCTATGCTGCCTCCTCCCCCCAGTGAGTGCCTCGGGGCCAGTGCCAAACAGTGGGGAAGAGCTCAGGGTTCTCGTTAGACAGTGATGTGACCCTGCCTAAGCCGCTGGCTAGCATGTGACCATGGGCAAGTCCCTGAAACCCGCCTCCCCACCGTGTGCAAGTTTCCTCTCTGGGTTTCCTATCAGGGCTCCGTGAGCTCAGATGGTACAGGGCTCAGTGCTGGCACAGAACATGCTTCACCAGCGACAACTGTGGCTGTTGTCATGAATCAAGTGAATGACCTCCCTATCACTGGGGAGTGTGTAAGCAGAGGGCTGGGGATCAACTGTCGAGGATGCTAGAAAGGGCATAACAGGCTTGGGTGGGAGGAGGGACCTGACGACATCATTTCTCAGCCTCAAAGGTCTCCTTGTTTCCTTCCTCCACCAAGCTGCCCCCATACACAGTCGAGTGCAGACTGCAGACGGCGGGCAAAATGTCAGAAATTTCCCCGAGAGACAGAGGAAGGGGTTTTTGTGGGTTTTTCATTTTTCCTCTCTTGCATGCCCGGAAGCACAAGGTCAATAAAACTCCAGCAAAATGCCCCGCCCACCACACCAGCATCAGATGCTCAGTCATCCCAGTCAGTGGGCCTCAGAGAGGGAATACAGGGGGAGAGGGAGCACCGCTCTTCCCTCCACGGCATCTAAGTAGAAGGAGCCAGGGACTGGGATATCACCTGCTCTTCCCACTCACTCCCCATCAAAGCCCGGCCAGGCTGGTGCCAAAGGGGCTGGGGGGCATGGAAAGCAAGTGTCTGTCTTTCTCCCTGCAGCTGGGATTGTGGGTCTTACGGAAAATCAGAGCCCCGTGGGCCACACCACCCAGGAACGTTGACCTCTGCTCCCCTGGGGAGATGTGGTATACAACCAGCCACATAAACCTGGGCTGGTGAGGGAAGGCTTTGTGGAGGGAAGGGTGCCAGGAGGGCAGCCAGATAAGAGGTGGTGGGGGAGGGCATCCTGGGTGCAGACAGGCATGTACAATGGCCCAGAACTCGAAAGCATACAGTAGGTTCAGAGGACACCAAGCAGAGCGGTCCCTGTAGAAAGGCTGAGAGAGAAAAAGCTGGAAAGGTGATAAGTGACATCAGTATAAGAACGGACAATAAGCAACTGTTGAATGGATGTGGGTGGAAGAGTGGATAAAAGGGGGATGGGAGAAGGTGATAAGTCAGGGATGGATGGGAGGGGTCCAGTGCTATGGCCTGGACTATGTACTCCCCCAATCCATACCTTGAATCTCTAACCCTCTAATGTAGTGGGTTGGCCAAAAAGGTCATTTGGGTTTTTCTGATGATGTTATGAAAAAACCCAAATGAAATTTTTGGCCAACCCAATATTTAGAGATAGGGGTTTTAGGAGGTAATGAAGGTTAAATGAGGTCAGAAGGGTGGGGCCCTGATCAGATAGGATTGGTGACCTTGTAAGAAGGGGAAGAGATCCTCTCTCTCTCTCTCTCTCTCTGCCATGAGATAGTATCTGTCTGCAAGCCAAGAAGAGATTTCTCACCAGACACAAAACCAAACCCTGCTGGAACCTTGATCTTGGACTTAAGAACCTCCAGAACTATGAGAAAATAAGTCTGTTGTTAAGTCCCCAGTCTGCAGTATTTTCTTATGGCAGCCAGAGCAGACTGAGACAGATGGTTAGATGTATGTGGGATGGGTGGCAGCAAAAATAGGAAGGGGGAGGATAGGAGGAAGGAGACAAGAAGAGGAAGAGATGGACAGGTTAGTCAGTGGGTGAAAGGACAGCATGTACATGGGTGGGTGGCTGTGTGGGTGACGGGCCATATGTGGCCCCTCATATGTGGCTATGTGGGTAAAGTCCCAAGCACTGAAAAGCAAGGGGCCCCACTTGTTAGGTATGTTCAAAAACAACACTGAACCATAAAATAAAGGCAAGAAAGTCCAATAGAGTTCTACTGTTTCTGCTACAATGACTTCTTACAATCATTTTTAGAAATAAAAAATATCAAATTATTTCCCAAAACATTTCTCTCGGTCCTTGGGTGGCCTGAGTGCAGGCTGAGTCTGCCCTCTTGGTGCAGCAAGGAGCCTGCAGGGAACAGACTGAGCAGGGTTACTGCCAGCTCAGGGCACACAGCCTTGGTGATCTTGGGCACCGTGGCCTGTCACCATCCTCCGGACAGCAATGCTGGCCCCTCTACCTGTCCTGAAGACCCCTGCCCACCTCCTGTCCTGCTGTGGGCAGAGTGTAAGCCTGCTGTCCTCAAACTGTAGGCCCCTCTACCCTCTGCTGACATAATAAGGAATATCTTTCCTCCCCCATGAGTCCCTGTTCCCGAGGTCAGAGACCACAGCTGAACTTCATCTCATGACTCCACCCAGCTAAGGCCACTGGATGTGCTTTGGGACTTGTGATAACCACAGAGGATGGGGATGCCTTATGACCTTGTGACCTTTAGACTCATCTGCAGAGTGGGGCAAACAGGTTCATCTCTGTTCCGGAAGGATTTCCTGATGGTGCTTGTCATCTACCTTTGATGCCCATCACTGCCAGGGCCGGGGTGGTGGATAGGGGCAAGCCCACTGAGCTCTGGGCAGGGAAATTTGTCCCTGAGAGAGCTGTGGTCCCGGCAGCCCTGGACAAATGTGCTCCCAGAGCAGGAAAGATGAGGCCTGCAAAGGGCTTGTAAACCTGGAAATGAGGGGTGGTCAGGGGGTGTTGATGGCCCAGGCTCTGGGGTTCATGGAACCCTGGGATCTGACCGCAGTCAGCTCCCTCATTTTCTGTCTCTGTGACCTTGGGCAACTTGCTTAACCTTGCAGCATCCTCAGCCTCATTTGCAAAATGGCAACAATAAAGGATAATCATGAGGATCTGATAAGATGATGCAACACACGTGAGGCCCCAGACCAGTATATGTACAGTGAGTGTTTAATTGTTGTTGCTTAGTTGCGCAGTTGTGTCTGACTCTTTGCTACCCCCTGGACTGTAAGCTGCCAGTCTCCTCTGTCCATGGGATTTCCCAGGCAAGAATACTGGAGTGGGTAGCCATTTCCTTCTCCAGGGGATCTTCTTGACCCAGGGATACAGCTCACATCTCCTGCATTAGCAGGTGGATTCTTTACCACTGAGACACCAGGGAAGCCAGAACTAGCAATTAAGAGACCTCCTAGAGGAGGGCATGGCAAACCACTCCAGTATTCTTGCCTGGAGAATCCCATGGACAGAGGAAACTGGTGAGCGATAGTTCATCGGGTCCCTGAGTCGGACAACACTGAAGCAACTTAGCATGCACACAGTCACTCAAAACAAAAACTCACAAAGGGATGGCCTTCAGAAACCTGCAGTCAATGACAATGACGATGTTGACTCTGGTGGTTCCCACTTACCAGTCTCCCCGACTGTTGTGACTTGAGGACAAAACTCCCCTCGTCCCCACCCCAGCAACCCCCACTCACCCTCACGGCAGCGGTGACAGCACTTCCCGGCAGCCTTGTCATAGTAGCGGCTGAGGTCTCCAAGACAGTCATTCTCAGGGGCTCGCCTCTGGAGCATGAAACACACTGGTAAGTCCAGGAGGGTCCCAGACCCCCACCCTCCCTCCTGCCCCTCAGGTCCCAGGAGGCCTGGTATCCAGTTTCTGTCAGGACCAGGCCTGAGATGGAACCTCATGTTATAGTAGTCAGGACAGAAACTTCCTCGAAACTGCTCCACTGGAGCGATGGAGGCCACCCCAACCTTCCATAACTCAGACCCCAAACCTTGAATTCTCCCTTGACCCTCTACTCCAGTGCTCACACCCAACCCATCAGCAAGTTCTCTCAGCCTCTTTGGACCGGTATCCCCCACCTCGTCCACCAGGTCTCAGTTCCCATCCCTTCTCCCAGAGAATAATTCACTTGCCTCCTACCTGGCCTCCAGCATGGGCCCAGCAATAAGAATCTCTGGTAAGAGCTTTTCTGGTGGCTCACTGGTAAAGAATCCTGCCTGCCAACGCAGCAGACGTGGGTTTGATCCCTGATCTGGGAAGATCCCACATGCCTCAGAGCAACCAAGTCCATGTGCCACAACTATTGAGCCTGTGCTCTAGAGCCCGGGAGCAGCAATTACTGAGTCCACATGCCACAACTGTTGAAACCCATGTGCCCCAGAGTCCGTTCTCCGCAACAAAAGAAGCCACTGCAATGAGAAACCCATGCACTGCAGCTAGAGAGTAGCCCCCTACTTACCACAACTAGAGGAAAGCCCGAGTAGCAACGAAGACCCAGCACAGCCAAAAATAAATTTTAAAATAAACATTTAAAAAAAAAAACATGTGCATGCATGCACGCTAAGTTGCTCCAGTCATGTCTGACTCTGTGAGACCCTATGGACTGTAACCTGCCAGTCCTCTGTCCATGGGATTCTCCAGGCAACAATACTAGAGTGGGTTGCCATGCTCTCCTCCAGGGAAATAAAAGCATATATCCTTTCAAAAAATCATCTTTGGTAAACTTGCTTGTTGAAGTCTAACTCTCATGCAGAAAATCACACAGGTCTCAAGTACATATGCACTGAATTTTTACAGCATAAACACATTCTGCCACCAGCTCCCAGATCCAGAAACAAGACACTAGTACCCAGAACCCCTTCCTGCCCCTTCCCACCACGGAAGGCCCCCTGCTACCTTGACTTCTACACCCAGAGACACATTATGTCTGCTTTTATACTTCACCTGGATAGAAACACACACACCCTGACAACTGGCTTCTTTAACTCAAAATTCTAATGTGGGAATCACCCACATTATTGCAAACAGTAACCATTCATTCAAGTTCACTGCCTTGCACTATTGCATCCTATGGATATGCACAATTTATCTATTCTACTCTTGAGGGACCTTTGAGTTGTTTCCACTTTTTGATCATTATGAATAACCCTGCTAGGAACTTTCTTATACCTATATTTTGGGTGCACATATGTACATAATGTTGTGTTGCTGTTTTTTAGTTTCTAAGCACTGTGCAACACTTTTGCAATCGTATGGCTTAGAGCCCAGCCAGTCTCTTCTGTTGGTGGGATTTCCCAGGCAAGAATACTGGAGTGGGTTGCCATTTTCTTTTCCAGGTTATCTTCCTGACTCAGGGATCAAACCCACATCTCCTACACTGCAGGCAGATTCTTTACCCCTGAGCCACAGGGGAAGACCTGTGTACACATTACTGCTGAAGACATACCTAGGTATGGAATTGCTGGGTCATAACGTATGTGTATGCTCAGTGTTGATTGATTCTCCATACAGTTTTCTAAATTGTACTAACTGATATTTCATGGCAGTGTGTGAGTGTTCCAATTGCTCCACATCCCTGTCAACGCTTGGTATTGCCAGTTTGTAAATTTTTAGCCATTTGGGTGAGCTTACAGTGGTGTTTCATTGATCTTTTATTTGCATTTCTCTGATGAGTGGTGATGTTAGGTACTTTTCCACATGTTTATTAGCCATTTGAATATTCTCTCTTGTAAGATGACTATTCGGGTCTTTTGGCCATTTTTAAAAAAATCAAATTATCTGACTTTTCTTCCTGATGTGTAGGAGTTCTTTATATATTCTGGATACAAGTCCTTGTTGAATATATTTACTGCAAATATCTTCTCCTATCTTCTGTTTTGCCTTTCCACTTTCTTAAAGGAGTCTTGTGATGAATAGAATCCTCAGTTTCAATGAAGTACAATTTATCAATCTTTTCTTTTATTGCTAATGTCCTATGTAAGAAGTATTTGCCTGCCCAATGTATTTAAATATTCTTTTTTAAAATAAAGGGTTGGAGTAGGTATTTTCTTAGTATTTGTTTGTTGGCTGTGTTGGGTCTTAGCTGCAGCATGTAGAGTCTTCAATCTTTTCTGTAGCATGTGAGATCTTTAGTTATTTCATGGGAATCTAGTTCCCCAACCAGGGATTGAACCTGGGCCCATTGCATTGGAAGCTCAGAGATTTTAGCAACTGGACCACCAGGAAAGTCCCCATTTAGATATTCTTTTACATTGTCATCTGGATGGTATTAGCCTTTTCTATTTGGGTTTCATTTTGCTACATGGTGTGAAGTAGGGACCAAGATTTACTTTTTTCAGGAATAGGCTTTTTTCTTTCTTTTTTTTGGCCATACCACATGGCTTGCAGGATCTTAGTTCCCCAACCACGAATCAAACCCTGGCCAACAGAAATGAAAGCCCTGAGTCCTAACCACAGGACCACCAAGGAATTCTTAGGAATAGGCATTTTTCACAATGCTCTTCCACATGTTTCCAGGGCTCCTTGAAAGCTAAGCCCCTTCGTTAGGCAGTGTTCATGAAAGTTTGGGGGAATGAACATCGTCCTTCCTGGTCAATGAGAGGGGAGCATGAATCAGGTTTCTGGGAAGACCCATAACGAGGAGCTCCAGGAAGGGAGCGTGGCAGGGAGGTGGGGGAGACAGGGAAGGAGGGAGCTGTGTCCCACCTCTTTATCTTCAGCATCCGAGGAGATGGAGGCTGGCAGACAGGAGGTGGCCACTCATGGGATGGATTAAGCGGGGGCTTTCTTGCTTTGGGGGAAGAAAGCAGAAACCATTGACCTGCCAGGAGAGACCTGGCTGGCCCAAGGGGATTCCCTACTCTTCTCTCCACCCAAGGGAACAAAGAAATAATATGCGAACACTCTGCTATGGGCACAGAGCAGCAAGGAGGCAGTGTGGCTGGAAGGCGGACACAGGGAATGTCAGTTACGTTCTTCTCTTCTTTATTTGCACATCTGAAGTGTCACCACATAAATTTGAGATAATAAACATAACCTACATTTGCAAACACCAGTCACACAGCACTTGTCTGTCTCATGTTACCCAAAGCCCAGGGCCTTGGGGGCATTCTGTGTGCCTACCTGTACCCAGCCTTCTGCTCCAGCAGAATCTCATTCTTCTCAAGTAAACTGGGGACACCAGGGAGACTCTCTAGGGGCCAAGACGTGCCAGGACAGCCCAAGCTTCTCTTGGACCCACAGCATCTCACTGTGCGCGCTTGGAAGCCCATGGCTGCGGGGAGCTGTGGGCAGTGGGGAGCTGAGGGTTCAGCCCTGCCAGGTTTGCCGAGCGTGAGGGAAATTCTGGGGCCCTGGTCTGGGTTTTCCCCTCTTGGCCTGCCTGCTCCTCTCACTGATAGCTACGGACTCAGGGGGCCATGGCCCTGCTCACTCTTCCCAGGGCCCAGGGGCACAGCGGAGGGGAGCACAAATGCTTATCTTCATCTCCCACCTTCATCTCCCACCACCTCGCCCTGGGTCAGTGGAGAGGGGGAGGTACAGAGGACAGGGAATCCATGGTATTACCAGTCACTCCTCCCCAACCATGAGTCACACATCACCTCCTTCAGGCCACCCCCAGCACTTTGGGGGGCTTCCCTGGTGAATCAGATGGTAAAGAATCCACCTGCAGTGCAGGAGATCTGGGTTTGATCCCTCGGTTGGGAAGATCACCTGGAGGAGAGCATGGCAACCCACTCCAATATTCTTGCCTGGAGAATCCCATGGGCAGAGGAGCCTGGCAGGCTGCAGTCCATAGGGTCGCAAAGAGCTGAACACGACTGGAGCGACTTAGCATTAGCACGCACATGTGAATGTTGGCCTTGGTGGTAAAGAACCTGCCTGCCAGTGCAAGAGGTGTAAGAGACATGAGTCGGTCCCCGGGTTGGGAAGATCCCCTAGAGGAGGGCATGGCAACCCACTCCAGTTATTCTTGACTGGGAAATCCCATGGACAGAGGAGCCTGGTGGGTTGCGGTCTGTGGGGTCGCAAGAGTCAGACATGACTGAGGAACTACGCACGCACAGCCCTTCGGGGCCGTATCACTACCCCACATTACAGACGAGGAAACTTCAGCTCAGAGACGTGCAGTTACTTGCCCAAAGTCACATAGCAACTAATCACAGACAGAAGATTTCGAGCTTCACTGTGTCCCCAGGTCTCTCCCCGTCTATGAGCCTCAGGCTGCCCATTTTGAAAACAAAAAAGGTCCAGGAACTTCCCTCGTGGTCCAGTGCTTAGGAATCCACCTTGCGATACAGGGGACTCACGTTTGATCCCTGGTCAGGGAACTAAGATCCCACATGCCCTGGGGTAACTAAGGCTGTGCCGCAACTAAAGAGAAGCCTGTGGGCTGCAACTAAGACACAACACATCCAAAAATTAACTTTTTTTTAAACAGCAGTAAATCTTAAAAAAAAAAAAAAGGTTCAGTGTGCTGAGAAGGACATCACATCACATCTGTGGTCTTTCTACCAAAAGTCCACAGTCTGAATCACATCATGAGACAAACCCAGACAAACATCAGACAGCTCAGCTCCCCCAAACTGAGGGATATTCTACAAACCTGCTGGCCTTAACTCTTTAAAATGCCAGTGTATGGAAGATGAGGAAGAACTGTGGAATGTTTCAGAAGAAAAAAAAAGAAAATTAAAGAGACAAGAGAACTGAATGTAATGTCTGAAATTGGATCCTGAATCAGGCTGGGAAGGGGGATATTGCTGTAAAG